AATGGACCAACTGTCTCTATCCCAAGGCTAAATATTCATCAATTTTTTTGCACAAACTTTCTTATGTTTCACAACAGGCATTGGATCCTCTTCAAGGAGCGTAATATCGACGAAAAATCAGCACAACATAACAAAAATGCTTCTCCTTATAAGTACTGCCTTCATCCTTCTCAATCTTCCAAGGTGAGTGTTCCACCTTTACACGCACACTGAGAGAAAAACAAACACGTCAAAGAAATCTTGTTTGGGCCAATAAAATCGCTAGTTGAAAATTGCCAAAAAAGAATTTGTTTGGTTCGAATTTGAAAGTCTCAAACATGAATAACTGTTCTGCTTTCGACAGCAACGAAATATTTGGCTCAAGAGGCGGATAATTCACACCAGACGGTGCCTTTTCAGGATGAAAATATCTCATATAGAGGAAAATTTATCAACTAATATTTTATCCCTAAGTTACAAGATTGCTGTCATATCATTATTATTGTTTCATTTAAGGGTTCATTTGTTGCCTGTGATTATTAGACAGCCGAAACGAAAAACTACTATTCCTTGTTTCGCATAAAACAAAGATTTTTCGGGAGCAAAATACGTATCGGAGTATCGAATAAGGAAGGAGTAGTGCTAGAAATGACATTTCATACGTGTACAGAGAATGCAATTTTTTGTGAACTACTAAATCAATTTTTGCGACAAAAATTTTTCATTCCGTCGCACTCTCTGCATGTTTGGCACAAAAAATCCTTTTTTGATAATTTTCAAAAAACCATTTTCTTGGCACAAGTAAGACTTGTTTGAGAACTGTCGTTTTTCTCTCAGTGTATAGTAGGGGAGGGTGGGGCAAAACGGCCCCCCTTCAGTTGTCAATAACTTGTGAATGACATTGTGAAAATTGCCAGTTCCAACCTCATTTTGAAGATAATTTTTCATTCTTCAAAACGAGCTCTAACTCATCCCAATCGGATTATTGAATCGGAAAATATTGACGATTGAAGGGGGGCCGTTTTGCCCCATCCTCCCCTATCACTTTTACACGTGACAAAAATTTTACGAGGGAATCAATTTTGTCTTGAACGAACGGTAAAAATTATGACAATTCTTCCTCAATCGAGAACCCTCTCTTCTCCTTACAGCTATGGAATACGTCTATGCATATTTTTCCTCACCCTCACAAGGCAGCAGAGTTCAGCCCTCCTGTGGTGTCTACAACAGTTCTTCATGATCCTTTATTACACAAACTTCAGCATAAATTTTATCCTCTACGCCATGTGCGGTGTAACTTTTCGCCGGTGTCTCAAGCAATTGTTCCAGAAAACTTTAACAAGCCTAACAAGGTAAGCAGAGGGTTTCCTGGGAACGTAGTACGAAGGATTAGAGCTTACAAAGTTCTCTGATCTCTGAGATTCGTCATTCATCATCATGAACTGAATACGAAACTCATTCATCTTTTTCTTCGATATTCCATACGAGCCGCTGTTCCAAAGTTTCGCTCATTGTGAGCTCACAAGTATCGTAGACTGTCAACTTTGCTGTATGTTTTTTGGCTTTAGGTATCTTGGAAGGCAACGAAGAAATTCCGACATCACATAGGAACATCATCTTCACTAGATATTCCTCCTACCTTGTATGTCTATCTACATGTTTCTGCACTTGAAACTGCTGTAACCATATCCCAGGAAGAATAGATTCGGGATTGTGAGAGAGAAGGGGGAAAAAAGCAATTCATCGCATGGAATCGTGGGGAGTTTTCCATGAGGAGAACTTGGTATGTATTTTCTTTTCTCCTTCAATTTTTCTTTTCACGTAGGCAATGGAATATTTTCCATTCCCCTGTGACACAATATTCTATGTATTATCTACAATAGGAAATTCGTATTCTCAGCGTAGTTTTTGAGAGGACAAAACAGGGATGCCTCGCACTCATTGCACAGTATACTCCATATGTATTTTGATATTCTCGCCGGTCTGCTCTACTTCGTATAAGAAAGCAGTGGGGAGTCTGGAGAACAGGAAGGCCGTAACACCTCATATAATTGTACAATTTCAAATAAAATTTTCAGTTAAAATTTTTCCCATCGCGTCACGATCTCCGACCTGATCTCTATTGATGCTCACGTTGTTATACTTTACCACTTGCCGTTTTATTTCCATCATTCCTTGTGAATTTGTAAATATTGTGAATGAACTCGATCGTCTGATCGAGTTTCATATGATTGTTCATATTCGTACATTGTAATTGTTAGGTGATGACTGTACCTTGGAAAATATCATGTCTATATATTAGAGGATTGTTCTATTTGTGATTCAAAGGTACATGTCGTACTGATAAGGTAAATGGTATCCACTGTTAAGTAAAGAATGTGACTATTTTTAAGATTTTATCATCTATGTGGTATGAAAACCCAATGTTTTATAATTTTATTTGATGGAGAGAAAGCAAGAATGTTGTATAAGAATGAATAAAAGAGAAGTTTATGTCTCACAATTCCCTATTTCTTACATTCCTCATTTTTTAATAAATTGCCGAATGGTCCTAATGAAACACATGCAATGTATGCATTCTATATTGCATACGTGAAGAGTATTCTAATATTGCAAATATGAACAAATCACAGAAGGTAGAAGAGAAAACATTCGGTTTCTGAGGAAAATGAAATGTCGAGATGGAATTCACTCAGAAAAATATCACATATAACATGTACCCGAAGGAATGCACTCTAGAAAATGAGATTGCATATTTCGAAGGAGTTAAGGTACTGCAGATACAAACAGTCAAGAGTAACGAGAGAAGAAAAATTTCAATAACTGCGAAAATTGAAATATTGAGGGAGAATGCACTCAGAGAAATATCAACCACAGTAGACTCTCGCTAGTTGCACGCCCATTAGTTGCTCGTTTTCCCCTACAGTGGTTACTCCCTAGCATTTCAGCCTCTGGGGCCAGAATTCAAGAAATTAAATGTTCGGGAAGCCCTTACTCTTCCGTTGGAGGCGGAGCTGGGAAAGAGATAAACAGAGAGAAAGAATCTACCTGTTGCATTCTCACATGCCGAGAGTAACTTTACTGCGCAGTCCCGTCGCGCAGAGGGACACACAGATTTACCCAAACACACTTACGTTTTCGATGGTGGGGGAAGTCAACTTCTCTGACTGAAATGTTAGGGAATCGAAATGTTGGGGAGTAACCACTGTACTGTCCTTCTCGGACGCTCAAGCCGCTACCCCCCCCCCCCGTCGGCCACCTCATCGCTTTCTTTTGTCCTCCCTACGCAAACACAAGTCCAAATAATTTTATTCGAAAATAAAACTATTCATTCCTTCTCATTTCTCTGAGAACTTGGGTTGGCATTGGTTGAGGAGTGGGGGCCGGTGGAAAGTTGCTCATTTCTTGGAAATGGTACCCCTACAGCCCTTTCGATGAGCAACTAGCGAGAGTCTTCTGTGTTACATGCACAACCTGGAAGAATTCAGCCGAGGAAATAATGTAGTTGAAAAATATTCATTTTCCGTACTGCTTCTCACGATTTCTCGTCTGAGAATTGGTATTACATACTTGCCAAACTCGAAAACTTGAAAATCACTACAGAAAAATATTGTTCCTGGGCTGATGCGATGGGGTTTTTTTACTCGTGTGGTTGGCCAGTCCTCGCCTACGGCTCGGAGGCCAACGCCACACGAGTAAAAAACCCCATCGCAACAGGCCGGAAAAATACTATTCCCAGATTAACCGGAGAAGCTAGAAGGAAAGGGTAGGTTGCCCTTGGGAATAGAAGTTGAGATACTGAGCACGTCTCACATTGAGGGATAATGGTGATATCCCATTGGAATTCTCTGTTGCCTTTATCGCCAACTACACACTCCGGAAAAGAGAATCTCCAAGAGGAGTCATGTCCTATTACTGTTCGACGACCTTTTTGATGTATCTCCTATACAGAACGAGTAATTCATCGCCCGAATTTCTTTGACTATCGCCTCGTTTTAGTCGCATTCATTCAAAGCCGAGGGATTTGATGGAATGTTGTAAAAAGGTCGAGGACATGATTTTGTCGGGTGGATTAATACATTTTGCTTTACTAATCTAGGAAAAGAATTTTTTGACACGGATATGGCTCTAATTTCATGTTGGGGGTCATTTGCGGAGCTACCCTTAACGGCCAACGTCATGTGTCGGAATTCTAGAAAATTCTAGAAAATTCTCCGGTTTTACAGAAAACTTGAGTTTTATTTGTATCAAAGATACAGCCGCTTATGTTTTTTTTATCAAACACGATTGGCGTCCTTAAAACTACAGTAGACTCTCGATCTAGTCGCTCTCGTAGTCGCGTTGTCCCCTTATTACGATTTTTCGTCGCTCGAGCGCTGACCCCCCTGGCAGGGTCTATTTACACCCTCCACGGTAACTTTGACCATGGATATATGGGAGATCGTGAACCCTCAACTTCTACTTCTCAAATTAAATCTAGACAATAAACTAATGGAAAAATTTTTTATCCAAAAAAATTCAATCATTGAATTTTTCAATGGAAAACAAAAAGAAGTTATTCTCGATTTAGTAGCGAAATTTTTTTTATTCATATAGATAAAAAAATTCATTAATGAAAATTCGGTTAATAATAAAGCAATTAGTTGACTAAAATGCAAATTAACATGTTCGGAAGTGTAGAAAGTAAAAAATGGTCGAATTTCTTATTTCTTATTTTGCTTTTATCGTCCATAGTTCCGAGAAATTGGAGCTACATGTGGACGCATAGTGGGGGTAGGAAAATGCAGTCGTGTTATCGGAATCGACTTCCCCTACGGGCCCACAAGCACGACTACATCGAGAGTCTGCTGTAGTCAGCCTGCCCCGGACCGTAAATACTCACGAGAAAAGTAAATATTTGCATAAAAAAACAATTGATTTGCTCCGCCACGTAAAACCATGGATTCCGATTGAAACCAAATCATCCCATTATCATAAATTGCCCATAAAAGATGACAAACTTTTTCTGACTTGAGATTTACCTTTGTCTTCCCAGTGCCAGTTGGTCCAACCAACATCAAGCCGTGTCTGACCGTTGTCGTTTCGTACAGCTGAATCACTTTTAGGATTTGCTCTGGAAAAACAAGCAGAAAGTACGTTGACTGACTGTCCCCCGTTATGTTAGTGTAATGGTCTATAAAATGCAGGAGTTTCCCACAGAAGTGATAAGAATTTATTCTACACTTTCAGGGAAAGAAGGAAGTCCTCTATCCGCCAATAGACATTGGAAGATGGGACATTGTTTCATTCATGATAATGCGTTTGTTTTTTTGGCCTCATTTATCTGATCCGGGTAACGCATGTGGTAGATTCGGATCACCCATTCAGAAATCTGAAACGAGTCTCCTCCTCTATTTTATCTCTGGCAAACTATCTGCACTGAGAAAAAAATTATTTTTGCCGAATATGCATTTACTTGAAAGAAGTATTTATTTTTTCAATGCCGTCTTTCTGCAGTCGAGTCAGTTTCAGGCAATTCTCATTGGCTTTCACTTATGACAATTATATTGCTCTAGAAGATGACCGTGTTAGTTATTACCTTGAGTGAACTCCCTCAAAAATTATAAACATTTAAAAAACAGATTTTTTTTTAATTTTATTTAAACTCGTATCGACCACTAGGTCCTTGGTGACTTTATAAAAATTGGTACATTAATAGTTGCATCGTATATTGTAAATCATATGAGATGGTGTAGGTTCATGAGTTTATCTACATTGTTTTTATCATTTAGTACTTCGGTCAACACAATTGGGAGCTTAAAATATGCATAAAATAAAATAAAATATGCATTTACTTGAAAGAAGTATTTATTTTTTTAATACCGTCTTTCTGCAGTCGAGTCAGTTCCAGGCAATTCTCATTGGCTTTCACTTATGACAATTATATTCCTCTAGAAGATGACCGTGTTAGTTATTACCTTGAGTGAACTCCCTCGAAAATTATAAACATTTAAAAAACAGATTTTTTTTAAATTTTATTCAAAGTCGTATCGACCACTAGGTCCTTGGTGACTTTATAAAAATTGGTACATTAATAGTTGCGTCGTATATTGTAAATCATATGAGATGGTGTAGGTTCATGAGTTTATCTACATTGTTTTTATCATTTAGTACTTCGGTCAACACAATTGGGAGCTTAAAATCGAAATTCTTCCCTGTAGAAAATAGGAAATTTATGAAGAATGAATAATCATTGAAGAGGTTCATCCAACTTAATGCACTGATAGAACGGATTAGTTATTGCTAACGAATGGATTTTGGTTGGAGGTTAGGGTCTATTCGGTCTCACCAAATGTTCATTCGTTAATAGTTAACGAATGTATATTTGAGGAGCCTTGTTTGACTTGACTTTCGCCATTCAAGTGAACCATTCGTTAACTATTAACGAATATTCATTTGGTCATATTCAACTCTACCATTCGTTAATAGTTAACGAATCTCGTTTGGAATAAATGAATCATTCTACCAGTGTGTTCAACATAGTCATCCTCTAGAGCAACATGATTGTCATAATTGAAGCCTAATCGAGCTCGCATGAGCCTGACTCTCCTGGAGAAATACGATTTTGAAGAAAAAATGTTCCTCTCAAGTAAATGAACGTTTGGCAAAATAGTACATTACATGGCCGAGCCTTGGAAAACAGATCACCGTCCCCCACGTGCAAGATTGCCTTCCGAGCCGAAGGCGAGGATAGCAAGCACGTGGAGAAGGGGGATATTTTTTCCATGGCGAGGTGTGTATATTAATTTTCGTGTCGAGGGACCTGAAAAACCCAATTTTCGTGGCGCCGCGCGCAAAACGCCAATTTCGTGGCGCGCAGCGGCACGAAAATGGGGTTTTTCAGGTCCCTCGACACGAAAACACATTTTTTCTCAGTGCGACTGATGTGATTACGTTACCTTCAAGCTCCTTCAATCCCATCATTCGAATTATTTCGCGGATTCCTGCCTCCAGCAAATCACGATCCGCCTCAAGAGCTTCCAATCCCGGGAATAAATCCGACAAAATCCCTGCATTATCATGAGCACAGATAAAATATCCGAATGCATTCGATTTACGTGAAATTATACCTTCAAACAGTTTCAAATCGTCTTTGAAGAACTTTGGTACATTCACATCTCTCAAGGCGCGCACGCAAATTTTGTACTCATCAAAGTCCCCGGACTGACGTTTTAAATTTCCAGCGTATGCTATCACTGTTTTAACAGCCCGCATACCAAAATCATAGTGATCCTGGCTACTCAATTGCTCCGAGCTTAGCTTAAATGTCATGGTGATTTTCACAGCGAGAGTCTTCGCCTCGGAAAATCCATAGGAAAATAATGAAATTTCAGCAATTAGGGCGTAGTTCGGTACCATCATAGCAACCGGACGGAAGAGGGCTTTCAAATTGTCTGGCAATTCTGTACGTCCAGCGTAACCAGGATTCATCGTAATAAATACAGCGCACATTGGTTTTAATGTTATATCACAACCCTCGAAAATGAAACTGAGAGGAATGATTTCATGGTTCAATTGGATCACTTTGAAAGGCGAATAGGTGATTATTATTTACCGAGATGATCGCATCTGCTGCGCTTGTTGGATTGTCAATATTTGTTGGGCAATCACTGAGAGTACTTCTATGTCAATTCTATTGAATTCGTCGAAGCAGGCCCAGGCACCCGCACTGAAAATAGAGTGGAAGTCAGTCAATAGACTTTGAGTAACGGTTTACTGAACGAGTAATTCCATTTAGTGCGTCTTAGCGAAATCAAATAAACACGCAGAACAAGTTTATGTAAGTGATTTCCATGAAGCTAGTCATGAGAAAGTTCAATGCAGCCGTTCCACTGGAAATTTCGCTGGGTGGTTTTTCATTGTTCTATAGAAAAGCTTAAGAACAAAAGCTGGAGATGTTACATTCAGGGAAGAATACTCAATCGAAGATAATCAGTGGAGTTTCATTCGTTGACGTAATTTATTCGATTACGTAGAAAAACCTCGAAAACCTTTAAACCAATTGAATTTCCTAGCTGAAGTGCAAAGATTTTCTATTTTACGGAGAGAAGNCGAGGTTCGTCATGCGAAATAGAGGATTTTCCGCATTTATTTTCTCGATGTCTAGTTCCGATTGCGGGTTTGAAATTTCGTCGGATGGATACATACATATTTCTCCAATGATGGAGGGAAAGAAAAAATTTTTTTTGAATCTTTTTTCAAATTCACTTGGCACCCTTAAGTGACGGTATCGTAATTTTTCACAGGAGATTCAGATAAAAATTACGGAACGCTCTGGAAAAATTTCGTGACAGTTCCGTAAAATTTTCTACAACCACATTTCGGGAAACGATCCTTATGTGCAGCGCCATCTATCGGAATTTTAGAAAATTCCAGACATTTCGAGGTAATTCCAGAAGTTTCTAGAAATTTCGAGGAAATTCAGGGAGTTTCTAGAAAATTCGAGGGAATTCAAGGAGTTTCTAGAAAATTCGAGAGAATTCAAGGAGTTCCCAGGAAATTCGAGGGAATGCAAGGAGTTTCTAGGAAATTCGGGAAAGAAGGAAGGACCATGGACGTATCCACGTACAATTACAACTGTATCGAAGACAGTCGCCTGCAATTTTTTGTGTAGAATATTATCACATGTAGTCATGTGAGAAAAACCATACGTAATACGTGGAAAATATGAGCGGTGAGCGGTACCTCGCAAGCCCTTTGAAGAACTTCCCCATTGAGATATAATCCAACTGATCTGAGCAATTGAAAACGACGCACTGAATTGCAAAAGCTTTCGCCAGATCTTTCGTGGTTTCCGTTTTCCCCGTTCCCGCTGGTCCGGATGGGGCACCGCCGAATTTCAAATGCAGTGCACCGGTTAATGTTAAATAACACCGCTCCGTCAATGGCGTTATCACGAGTCTTCCGTTATTTCCCAGGTACTCGTAACTTAGAAATGATAAAATTTTATGAATTTAAATTACATATAATCCCAGATATACGTGCCTTATGGAAATGATCCAATTTTATGAATATAAATTGCATATAATAAGATCTTCTTCAGGTGAAGTTGCGCAAAAAAATTCTAATTATGGCTGAAGTATGGCAACTGAATAATTCAGTAGCGAAGTGGCAAAGCGGTATAAGTCAGTTTTGACTATTGGCCAGTTTTCAATGCCTATCTCGGAATCTAAGAGAGATAGCGAAATTTTTGTAATTAGATTTCCTGTAGCTCTTAGTCGGCTCTACAAAAAAGTCTATAACAAAAATTTTCCTATTTCTCTTAGATTCGGAAATATTCTTGAAAAACTCAACTGGGAGATAAGTCGACTTAAACCGTTTTACCACTTCGCTACTGAATTACATATCGCTTTAATAAAAAATGTGAATTGTCGGTTTCTGAAAATACTATTCAATATTACCAGATTCCAATTGCACACGCTGGTCCCTATTAATTCGGTGTAACGAAAATGGAAGGACGTACCCGTAAGGAAATTCGGCGTTGATGACGCAAATTTTCACATCACAATTTTCCCAGTAATATCGCATTTGAGAATTCCAATGGAAATCACCCATACTTCCCACACTCTTTTCGATCAATCTGGTAACAACGTCCCGCGCGTGCACCTGGATCGTTATCAGAGACTCTAGCATGAGCCTCTGAATCTGAGTTGGCATTCCTCTAATCAAACCTCTCAACGTGTCGAGCTTGTGTGACAAATTCATCAGCAGTCAACAAAGGCTATTGTAAGGCTGTTGTATCAAAATGAACTCACCTCAGTCAGCATAACGGTGTAGTATTCATTCAAAGAGTTGAGATTTATTGCATTTTCCACTTGAGCGGTCCAGAATATTTGATTTGCACAAATAACCACTTGACCCGGCCACATGTAAACCCACTCTTCATAGACTTCTGTTTGCAGGTGATCCAGCGCTTCTTCAATTATTTGTCTGAGGGTTCTCTGCATAGCCAGCTCCACCTGTAACTCCCCTCGGGCTATGTAATGCACCATTTAATTTCAAACTTGATTATTATATTTTTTTCTTTCATTATTCATTTCTTTTCGTATATAAATTTCTTTTGTGCATGACGTTCATGCAGTTGCAGCATGTATCGCAATTTCCTAGCCACGGGCCGAGGAACACAGTGAGGTTGACATTAAAAAAAAGAGGGATACAAAAAAAGGTAAGTCCGATGAAAATTCGAGGAACATTCAGAGATTTTTAGGTAGAAATGAGACGACTATTCCACAACCGTTTTACCACTTCGCTACTGATATTAACTTGAATCAACGCAATTCTACTCATTTTCATAGAATTATTTAATCGCAACTGACAGTTTGCATTCGTTCTCTCATCGCATGGAACGACCTACACTGAGAAGAAAATATAATTCTGCCAATCAAATTTGTGTTAGACCAACACAAATCCACGGAGAGAAATTTTATTGGGGAAAACGTGAATTGTTCCCCATATTTCTGTGAAAATTTCACAGAAATCCCCAGAAATACTAAGAAATTTTACCTTAACAGCACTAGAATTTTTCACGGCCGGTGGATTGCAATTTTTTCCAGTACTCGTACCAGAATTTTTCTAGAAAATCTCTCTCCGTGTATATATATGCCTGCAATATCTACACAAACTGTTCCTATATAATTCCGGTTTCAATTCTGACAATTAGTAAATGAAGCCGGATATGTTAATGTCCCTGAGATTCCCTATTATACCGGAAAATTTCGAAATATGTTAAAAATCGATTTTATCCAGTAGCTTTCAGAGCTAATTATTGCTGACTGCAGAAAACGCGCCCCGAGTGGCGGAAGGGGGAGTGAGGAAAATCGCGAAAAAGACCAAGTGAAACTCACCTGCCCCAACCACTCCTCCACGTGTCCAACAGGATAAATAGGACATTTCAATACGACTTCTTCCCCATCCGCCGAGTACATTCTCGTTATTTCCAAATCCTCCTCGAACCTCAATTCCTTCATATTCTCAAAGCATTTATTGAGATGGGGTTGAACAGCTCTGACATTTTTAGCCTGCGCAAGAATTTCGAGCAGTTCGTCGTCACTGAGAAAATAAAATCTCGGAAAAGTCGAACGTTTAGCCTCGAGATAGTTGGAGAGACCGCGCTGTACAATCTCCAGGAGATTCTCACATTCTTTCAAACTGCCCAATAAAGTTTTATCGGGACATGTCCGAAGGATCTGCGGAGTATTGGGGGATATATGTGAAGGATAAAGTTGACCACGTTTTCGCCATTAATGTCATCCACTTACGAAAGGAGACTCTTGGGCTTTCTTCATTATTCTCCTCCAGTTCCGATCCATTGCGTTATATTTCTTGGCTTCCATGGGCAATTGACGACTTATATCCTCACTGGTGAATATGGGTTCTAGGTACATCCAAGCTCTACGAGATTAATAAATTGTCATGAAAAAATTCCCCACCCTCGAGCAAATTGGAAATGAATTTTTCTCGTTACTTCTGCACTTTAATCCACTGCATCAAAACTTCCTGGATGAGCTTCAATTTTCCCTCCCACGCGTCTATTCTCTTCTCAAAGAACGCCCTGTACGGTCCATACCCAATTTGCTGAGTACCTTGTACATGCTCATCCAGCATAATTAATATTTCATCAGTGACTTTCATTATACAAGTGCCTGTTTCCTTATACGTCAAAATCTCCATTTTCACGGACTCCCATTCACCCATCATTTTATCCAAAGCCGAACATATTGTGTACTCCTGCGTTGCCTTGTCCGATACATCGGCAACGATATCTTTGAAATCCATTACACCGAGGGCTATAAGACCCTTGAGGTTTGATGGTGGTGCGAGAGTCACTCGAAGTCCCGTGCGATAATTCATCTCCTCTAAGTGTTTAGCTTCTATTCCGGGATTCCGAAGGGATTTCATCAGACCGACGTATGGTTTGAAAGCCTCAATTTTCGACGCTATATCGACCCCAACTGATAGCATATCTAGGAACGGCGGTCAAAATTTTGGGCTTTATATTTATATATTTATATTTATATAGTAACGCGGTAAAATGATTCAACTCGAGGCATGACAAAAATTTTCCTCCCTCTTAGACTTCGAGATATTCATTGAAAACTGGTGAATCGTTAAAAATCGACTTGAAGCACTTTAACCCTAGATTGGTCACCACATGAGGGAAAACTCGCCGCGCGTCGTCTTTCTTTAATTACTATTCAGTAGCGAAACGGTAAACCGGAATAAGTCGATTTTGACTTTTGGCCAGTTTTTGGTGAATATCTCGGAATCTAAGAGAGATAGCGAATTTTTTCTCACGACATTTTTTGTACAGCCAATTAAGAGCTATAAAAAAGGTGATGGCAAAATTTTTTCTATCTCCTTTAGATTCCGAGATATTCGTCAAAAACTGGCCAACAGTCAAAATCGACGCAACCCGTTTACCACTTCGCTACTAAATTGACTGCCTAACCGGAAATTTTAAAAAAAATTTGACTTTGTCGATTGAAGTGTCTAAAGAATTAGTTGTTTTTAGAACAACATATTTCCCGAAATTCAAAAAAAAATCAATTATTTCGAACAGATGAATTATTTTTTCCCATGTTAGATGAAATTGCCCATCACGCGACGTTGCCGGAAACTCGCTAAACGCGCCCGGGCGGTGTAGAGTGGATTCGGCAACGCTGGAGCCTCAATAATACGGCGGGGAATCCCCGCGGAGGTGACCAGAGTCGCAGCGTCGCGTTTTGTGACCAGACTAGGGTTAAACCCTAGAATGTCCGAGTAGTTGTTCTGAGGAAGACCTGAAGCACATGCTATGCGAATGCCCCCGTTACGATGATGAACGTCTTGTATTACTAGACAAAATTTATGGGGGAACGTATGTTCCTAAATCCCTTCATATGATATCAGTCTTCCTCAGCGCAATAAACTTTGACGTATTCCAAATTATTGGCTTATTTTTAACAGGAAATAATGTAAGTATATAAGGAAAAGAAACTTGCGAACGTATTAACCGATTCAAACCGATGGGTTTGAATGTCTTAAATTAAAAAAAACCATTTTACCGTTTCGCTACTGATTTCATGTACATAAATTCCTTTAAATTCTCGAAAGGAGAAATCAGAGTGGGTAATCATCTAAATAATTTCATATTCAACCGTGATAATTGAAACAAATTAAAGTACTTGGGTGATCTTGGAACACTTTATTGCATTTAGCTACGGATTTCTGCATTTCCGTAACCAAAACATCCATCTCCTCAGGATCAACCGTCACCAAGGGATTATCCATCCACATGTCTTCGTACTTCAACCAGTCTACAGAAAGTGTGAAGAGAATAATTATCACCCAATGAATTATTTTGTGGGAAAAAGGAAAAGTCTCTTGAAAAAAAGTCTTTCAAAAGTTGAGTGACAGCTCATTCGGAAATCCGCACCTGATGCTGTGCACCAGAGGATTTTGTAAGGTTCTAGTTGACGCTCCAGCTCATTGAGACGAGCATTCATATCAGTGGGTGGCATTCCAAGCAATCTGCGACGCTCGTTAAGAAGGAGCGACTGTTCCTGACATGCTTTCAATGATTTCCATATTCTTCTCGCGTCCACTGCGTTCTCGTGTATCTTATCACCATCTGTCTGACGCAGTAATTCCACCAAATTCCCGGAGACGATGATGATTCCCTCGGACAGGGTCATTTCATCGTCCAATTCTGCTTTCGAGAATTTCTCCACGCATTCGGATAAGTAATCAGTCGTTTCTATAATCTGAAAACAGTCGTATTAATCTTTACACTGAACCCTTCCCAAATCACACGTTTACCGGACCCCGCGGGCTGTCAGAGCTCAAGACTCGACGGCTTCTTAGGGTTAAAGTGGTTCAGACTTCGTCTGGATCGCAATTGCCGTTTGTTTAAGCGAATGAATCAATACTTTTTGTAACTGAAAGTTGATTCCGTATTTATTGACCCCTCTAATGCCAATGAAACCCTTAGAGGCGCCAGAAGTGTCGAAATAAATTTTTTTTTTCACCCGGAGCCAAAGTGTCAGATCTTGGATTTTTCCGGGGAAAAATCGAATTTCGCCAAAATCGATTTTTTTCGTCACGTGAATGTTGATTTCGTATTTATTGGCCCCTCTAACGCCAATGAAATCCTCGGAGGCGCCAGAAGTGTCGAAATAAAAATTTTTTTTTTTCACTCGGAGCCAAAGTGTCAGATCTTGGATTTTTGCCGGGGAAAAGTCGAATTTCGCCAAAATCGATTTTTTTCGTCACGTGAATGTTGATTTCGTATTTATTGGCCCCTCTAATGCCAATGAAACCCTCGGAGGCGCCAGAAGTGTCGAAATAAAAAAAATTTTTTTTTCACCCGGAGCCAAAGTGTCAGATCTTGGATTTTTGCCGGGGGAAAGTCGACTTTCGCCGAAATCGAATTTTTTCGCCAAGTGAATGTTGATTTCGTATTTATTGGCCCCTCTAATGCCAATGAAACCCTCGGAGGCGCCAGAAGTGTCGAAATAAAATTTTTTTTTTTCACCCGGGACCAAAGTGTCAGATCTTGGATTTTTGCCGGGGGAAAGTCGACTTTCGCCAAAATCGAATTTTTTCGTCAAGTGAATGTTGATTCCGTATTTATTGGCCCCTCTAACGCCAATAAAACCCTCGGAGGCGCCAGAAGTGTCGAAATAAAAAATTTTTTTTTTCACCCGGAGCCAAAGTGTCAGATCTTGGATTTTTGCCGGGGGAAAGTCGACTTTCGCGAAAATCGGATTTCTTCGCCAAGTGAAATTTACGGAAAGGAAATTTAACGGAACTGTCATGTAATTTTTCCGGAGCGTTCCATAATTTTTATCTGAATCCGTAATCGGTGAGTGAATCGTGAGTTCCGTAATTTTCACTGAACATTTCTCTCCGTGCAATGATTCAACACCAAATCCCCGTGATCTTCTATTAACAACTGCACCGGCTATTCGAAATCGTTGTATTCACCTGCTCATCAATTAACCTGGGATACCCAATACACTGCCATTTTGTACAAAAGTCTTCATCCGGTACATTCCACTTGAAGTTCTCAAGCACTTCGTACTCCAATTTCAAACGGTTGACATTGTCACTCAAATTTGTAATGCGAAGTGGCAGATTCTCCATGTACTCTCGTATTTCAAAAACTTCCTCGATGCTTTTTGGATCGTCCCTCAGCTTTCTGCGCATTTCACTGTACTCGAACATCGAGTCATCGAGTTGGATTTTCAATTTCTCCGTTAACAGCGTCAATAAGCGCACGGAAAGGCCCTTGTGCTTTTCAACGAAAAAACCCTTTAACCCATCCAATACGACGTTGAAAGGTCCTATAACAATGCTGTTAGGCACACTCTTCTCGATTTCCGTCCTCGCAGCTCGGTGGAAAGCTATCTTTTCCTGGAAGACAGCCGTCGTATCATCCTCTCTTTCAATCGTCCTGCGTAGAATATTATAATATTCTTCATTGAAAGCTTCTCAAGTCACACTGAGAGAAAAATCTGAAGTTCGATTGACAACAAGAAAATAGTTGAGGCAGTTTTGGTGAACGATACGATTTTTTTTGTATGCGGCACATAACATTATAGTACACGGAGAGAAATATTCAAGAAAAATTACGGAACATTTCACGTAATCCGCAAGCGAGAATCGTTTTCAGTGAATTTCTATAGCAATGTAAGAGAATAAATCTGAAACGTTCAGTAAATTTTCGGGTCTGTCACCGAAAAAATACGAAAAAGTCACGTAATTTTTCTGGAAGTTGTAAAATCTAACAGAAACTTCAAGACTTATTATGCCTCAGAACATGAAAATTCTTGGATGTTTAAGAATTTTTACGAAAAGTTCCGGAAAAATTACGGAACGTGTTGTTAAAATCTCCCCCTCACGGTGACTCATGGCTAGCCGTGAGGCGTAGGACGGATGAGTAATTTTTACGGAACAGATCGTAGAATTTACGTGACGATTGACATTTTTTATTGAATTTTACTTCGCTCCCAGATTACGTTTCGAAACGTAATTTTTACGTCTTTTTTCTGGTAATTTTTATTGAATATTTCTCTCCGTGTTCACAAGCGTAATTGTTGCAAATCAAAATACCGTTAAACTAACCAAAGTTCACCACGACAAATCTATCGCGAGTGAAACTATAAAATAGTTGCAATGACTACATTCCATTGTAGTAATTACTTCTCTTGAGGACTTTTTGACTATAATTCGATGGTGATGGAATATCGTCAGAAGAATCATATTTTTCTCTCAGTGCACAGTGCACATCCTGCACGAGACAGAAGTTGGAAGTGCACAGTTTACATACGCGATATATTTTTCTGCATCCATCGCATAAAAATCGAGGTATCTATTGAATTCGTCTGCGTACGCTTGCAGTGGGATGATGGCTCGTTCATATGCTTGAGTCAGTCTTTCACGTATGACACAGACTGCATCATCAAGAAGGCCGGTGGAGCTGAGGTATGACTCGGGAGGGAATGTTAAGCTCGGTAACAAGCTTGCATGAGGCTGCTTTACTTTGTGACACAGCAGCAAAGCCTCCTCCAAGCGCTCTATTAGTATTTTCTGATGACAAATTGGGTATTAGATCGATAATGGAGCGGAATACCTTGAATTTAAATGCCCTGAATTTTCCCACCATTCAAGAATTTTTACAGAATTCTACACGGAGAGAAATCAGTAGCGAAGTCGTCAAACGGTTTAAGTCAATTTAGTCTTTAGTTGAGCTTTCCAGAAATTTTTCCGAATTTAAGGGAGATAGCGAAACTTTCATAATAACCTTTTTTGTAGAACAAATTGAGTGCGACTGAAAAGGTTATGAGAAAAAGTTTGCTATCTCCCTTAGATTTCGAGATATTCGTTGAAAACTGGCCAATAGCCAAAATCGACTTAAACCGTTTGACCAGTTCGCTACTGAAATGTTCAGTAAAAATTACGGAACTCACAATTCACTCATCTTGAATAATAAGAATAATAATAATAGTAGTAATAATGAAATGTAATAATTATAAAACTGAAAAATCAATTATTTGAAATAATGATAATTCTTTTCAGTGAAATATAATGGAAGTTTTTTTTCTGAGTCGATTATGGAATCGACTCAGAAAATTCAAGAGATGGTATTGTAATTTTTCATTAGAGATTCAGATAAAATTACGGAACGCTCTGGGAAAATTCTGTGACAGTTCCGGAAAATCTTCTACAATCACATTTCGCACATTTTTTTTTTCGGTATTACGGAAAAGATACGTAATTTTTATTGAATATGTCTCTCCGTGCATAGCAGTTCTTCCATAACTCAGCGCTGCAATTCATGACGCAAGTTGTAACGGGGATACTGAAGTAATTAACAGTGAAAAATTCATTGAAATCGAAAAACAGGCGACAGATTCGTCATATGACGAGGCAAGCATGTCCGGAAAATATCCCGGGCAAGTATGCTCGGGATATTTTCTCGAGTAAAAAAAATTTTTAATTTTTGAAAAGGAAAAAATTTTTAGAACTGAAAAGTTAAAAATGATTTTTCTCAACATTCTGTTGTTTTTAAGAAAATCATGAAAATTTGTATACATATTCTGTTATCTGTTATTACCCTAAATAAATTGACAGTGAAGATTCCGTTGAAATCTATCATATCGTTTTTGCGAGAATTGCGAACAGAAAACAGACAAAAGATTTCTTGTACGTGAGAAGACGATTTTACCTGAAACTGTGTTACAGGTGTTGTGTAGCCAGCACCATGTTCATTCATGACTAATTCAACATTGAAAACTGGCCCTTGACATGGGGAAAATTGTGTATCGATCAGATTGTCACCCCACGTGAAATCAATGTCCACGTTCGAGGTACATTCCGCAGGGCCCTCGAGCATAACTGCGTATTTTTCTATGGACGTCTTCACCAAGGTCTTTAGGGCGTCCTGAAAGGTAAGATTTCTGTGGTTGAAAAAAGTAATTCCTGATTAGCATCATCCCAACTGCATTTTGCGAGATATAATATTTTTGAACTTTTTCTCCTCGTAAATAAAGGACGGAATTTGCTTACAAAATGTTCGATCATTTTCTATGAGATCTAAAAAAATCTTTCCCTTTTTTCATTTCTAATGAACAAAAAAACTAATTTTAAGCGTTAGTCATAATCGAAATTTTGATTTTCACACAAGCCTCTGGGTTACATCCAGTAACCAATCCATTAGAGGATTTCTTGATTTCTTGATTTTTCCACATTTTCTCATTAAACAACAAAAAAAGTTCTCAAACAAGTCTTACTTGTGCCAAGAAAATAGATTTTAGACATGCAGAGTGCGCCGGAATGAAAAATTTTTGTCGCAAAAATAGATTTAGTAGTTGAAAAAAAAATGGATCCTCTGGACGCGCAAGAAATGTCATTTCCAGCACTACTCCTTCGTTATTCGATACTCCCATACGTATTTCGTTCCCGAAAAATCTTTGTTTTATGCGAAACAAGGGATAGTAGTTTTTCATTTCGGCTGTCTAATGATTAATAATCACAGACAACAAATGAACCCGTAAATGCAAATAATAATGATATGAATATGCAATCTTATAACTTAGGGATAAAATATTTGTTGATAAATTATCCTCTGCATGAGATATTTTCATCTTGAAAAGGCACCGTCTGGTGTGAATTATCGGCCTCTTGAGCCAAATATTTCGTTGCTATCGAAAGCAGAACAATTATTCATCTTTGAGACTTTCAAATTCGAACCAAACAAATTCTGTTTTTGCAATTTTCAACCAGCGGTTTTGTTGACCCCAACAAGACTTGTTTGACAACGTGTTTGTTTTCCTCTCAGTGTACTTCTATGCGGTACCGTGTAGAATTCACAACCGCATGCATAGGGTTGGACAGAGTGCCGAAGAGGACCTGAAAAGGGACTCGAAAGCCGCAGTGTTTACCAGATCGTGACGTCACCCCATTAAAAATTGTACAGGTTTTGGCTATAAACCGCCAAAATCTGGCAACCCTGGAAGGCCGTAAAACAAATTGTGAAAAAAAAACGATTCTGAATCTCCGAGTTTTCTGCAAATTCTTTGTAGGGTAAACCGCCCAGTAGATGGACGCCTAAGAAAACCGCCCAGTAGATGGACGTTTGTTTTTTAGCAAATGCAAAAAAAAATTGATCGAAAAAAAATTGTCACTCGGGGGTTAAGAATCACAACAGTCAGTGAAAATTCAAAGCAACAATTCACATTTCAGTGTTTTTTTGCGTAATTTCCTATCCAAAAGTAGCTCGTCCATCTATAGGGCAGTGTCCATCTACTGGGTAACCTACCCTAGTCTCTGATAATCTTTAACTTCATCGTGATGGTAGAGCTACTTTAAGGGAGGCTCCATCCGCACCTGCATAAAGAACACCATCATATTGATGAAACGTCGAAGTTTGATGACATCGTACACATGCGGATTCCTCTGGCGAAGATCAAAGGCTCCTTTTCCAATGTCACGAAGATACATTCTCGCAGATTGAATTGTCCTGTCCACCCATTCCTCCCTCAAATATTTGATGACAGCCAATGTGCTCTGCACTTGTTGCCCCTCGAACTCCCGCAAATGGAATAATTTTCCTCGGTCGAGCGAGAACAGGCACATATTGGCTGTCAATTTCTGACAAATCTCATTAATACTGCGAGCTGTATCATACACTTCCGGCAGGACATACAACGTACTCCAGTGGATAAACCGCTTTGTTTTCTGGAAATTTAATCACTGAAAATTGAACTGCAATTGACTTTCCGGGGAAACTGGTACTTCAAAGGTTTCCATTTTCGTCTCGACAATTTTCAACAGTTCAGAAGTGTTGGAATTGCACGACTCTTGCAGAAATGTATTTGAACTTGCGCAACTTCCGCTTGATTCCTTCTCCCGCGCCAAGCGACACATTTGGCGTTTGTAATCCAATTGGATTTCGACGAAAATCTGGGGGAAATTGTCATGAAATTTCAGAGAAATTGACATATTGAGTTGGTGTGAACCCTAGGTTGATTCAATAATCACTCTACCGATTCTATTTTTTCCTCGGGAAATCTCAGTTTTCCGTTTCTCGAAGCGGAGAAGATAATCGCATCCCTTTGGCTTTGATTAATTCCTGGAAAGTCCGCCACTTCCGTGCAGTCCAGGTACAAATTTTGGCTTGAATTAGGAGAGCACGGAAATAAGTCAGGATGTGGATCATGGGATAGTTGGAAAATCAGTAAATCATACTAAATTATTGGTGAATCGCGACGCTTCAAGCTTCCGGCGCTGCAATTGAAGCTTCCTCATGCTCTCGACAGCTATTATGTTGTCACCGTAAAATAACATTTCTAATGAGTCTCAAGAACATAACACAATTAAGGTATTTATGGCGTAGTCAGGGAAGGTCGAAAAAAAGTCAAGAAATTGATGATTTTTTAAAATATATTCTTTGATCTTTTCAAAACTCGAATTCGGAATTCGGAGAAAAATATTAAAAATAGAAAAAAGTCGCCACTTTTCTGAAATTTCGTAGTTGGGTGGAGTTTCAGGGAGGAACATAAAAAAAAAATCCAAATCGAAGGAACATAATAGCTGAGTGAATAATGCCAACTTGTACCTCGAATGGCACGACGTTGTCACTTTTTCTATCCATATTAATTATTTTCCAATTATCCGAAAGACAAGCTAGAAAAATAAAACAAAGCTTGAAATGTGCGAGAAAAAATAGAAAAGTTATTGTGACGCTTGAATTTATTCGTTGACGATAACTAATTCTTTCTATCAGTGTACGTGGCCACCCCGCCATAAAAACTTTAACCGTAGATTGGTCACCATGCGAGGGAATTGCCGCAATGTGTCGTTTTTTTCGTCTTGTCACCGGCTGGTTGACCGGAAAAATCCGAAAAAATTTGGATTCGTCAATTAAAGTATCTGGAAAATTTTAGTATTGTTTTTTAAATATTACATCCCAAATTCTGGAAGAAAAAAAAACATTTCCAACAGTTGAACAATTTTTTCCGATGTTAAATGAAATTGCCCGTTGCGCGACGTTGCTGGAAACTCGTTAAACGCGCCCGGGCAGTGTAGAGTGAATTCGGCAACGCTGGAGCCTAAACAACACGGCGGCAAATCCCCGCGGAGGTGACCAGAATCGCAAGTTCCCGTCAGGTGACCAAACTAGGGTTAAATCTACGGAACAGCAGCGCAACAAGCCGAAAACACTGAAAATACGATCCGACAATGATTCATTATAGTTTACTAATTTCCCAACTATCCCATGATCCACATCCTGAATTTGTTGCCAACATGAAAATAAACAACAACATAAATATAAAAAAGAAATATGGAGACATGGAAATTAAATAAGAATGAAATTAGCATAATAAATATTTGGAAGTATTAGCAGAGATTTTAGGGGATTTTACATCAGCATCTTTTCTTCCTGCGCTTCGTCCTCAGTCAGTTGATCGGGCCTCATATTGGGTCCCATATTTCTATGTCCAACGGATACTTTTTTTTTCAGCAAACTGAATCAGTCATAACTAATTCGATGGAGGTTCGTTCCGGGAATGACAGGGCTAATCAAATTTTCATTATAGTATTTGGAATTCGTATAATTAACAAACAATTGATACAGATTCATGAGATTCCCGATGAATATACTGGTCAGTAATTTCAATTGGTAACCTTTATTAATTGAATTAAATATTATTGACTGAACGCGGCTATAATTCAATGAAACCTTCTTTTCCCTCAGACGCCTAATTTCAGGGGATAGGTTTCCATGGTTTCCACTGTCGAAATGTTGATTTCTCAATGAGAACAATTGAAATGCAATTTTTCAAAGGGAAACGAAATTTTCGAATCTGACTATGCTAGGTTTTACATGGAAGTTCAGCCCTGCTCGATTGCTTGAATACGAGAATTTGGTGGATTTCCGTGGATGGCGCAATTAATTCTTCATCACAAAACCTTATTCAGTACTACAAATATTTGAAATTTTAATTGTTATTATATGGATGAATGCATACAATGCATTCAAATTGAATTCAATGGTCAAGGAAAAAGTTATAAAATGATAATAGAATGTCATAAAATGATGTTATAAAATTAACAATAATATCTCTCTATATAAATAAAAAAATAAGGCGAAAAATTCAGGGGACGCTCAAGTTCAGGGGACGCTAAAATTCAGGGGACGCTGGGTGCCTATACGGGGGTTCCTATATGGGGAGGTGCCTGTATTTATAAGGGATGTCTATATGAGCGGGTGGTGATAAAGGGGATATCGATATTTTAGGGGGTGCTCATATGGAAGATGTTTATGGGTACGGTCACACCGCTGNGAGCGGGGGGGCGAAGCCCCCCCCGGGTTGTCGAGCGGAGCGAGCAGGGGGCGAAGCCCCCTAGTCCCTCAATATTATAGAAATCCAAATCGACTTCTGGTGATGAAAATTTGGTAGGGGAGGGTAGGGCAAAACGGACCGGGAGGGTAAAACGGGCCGCAGGGCAAAACGGACCCCTAGGGTAAAACGGACCGCTGATAGAAAATTGGTAATTTTTGTTTTTTTCTCGTTCCTTCAAATCAGGAACACTGAATGTGTTGAATTAAAAGTGAGTTTCAGGATCACAATTGAACCGAATCGAAGCACATTAATCTCCAAGAGACGATTATCAAGATCAATATGCTTTGGGTTCGAAAAATATGAATAACTTTGAGCAGGAAATTTCTTGAAAATTTCCAGGGAACGTTGGTCTTCTGTTACCCCTTAACACTAGCTATGTAAGTTCTAATATTTGTACTCTGTTGCGTGATTTAAATTTTGGTGTATTCTTTTAGTTTTTTATTTAACGCCTTCATCCAAAAATTTGTACCAGTTGATAAATAAACATTAGGGGAGGATGGGGTAAAATGGACACTGAACTTTTTTGAAATTAAATTTCAAGCTGTCATTAACATTTAAAAAAAAGTCAAAGTGTCCACTTTACCAGGGTTTCCAGATTTTGGCGATTTATAGCCAAAACCTGTACAATTGTAAATGGGATGACGTCACGATCTGGTAATACTGCATTTTACTCCAACCTTCCCTATAAAAAAAGCATATCGAAGATTAAAAAAGCTCGGCCAATTCTCCGAACAAGTTCAAAGAGATCTTCCAAAAAAAATTGTCAAAGTCACATCAATTTCCTCACACCTTTTTCTAAAATAGAACAATAATTTGGACAAATACGAACAAAAACAGTTCTCTGCAGTACCAACAGGCACTCCATAACCGTCCAACGATAATGATCGCTCCCCCCAACTATCCACCGGGAATTCCCATAATTTCCAAAAGCCGAACAAGAAGGGACTGACAATGATCGGATCCACTGTAAAAGTTTTATGACGCGCCGGCGTCGACAAAAAAACCCGCACACAGAGGGAGAGATCAGCTGGTGTTATTCGCTCCATCGCAACATTGACGGGGAGAAGGAGTTTTAACGAAGAATCAGAAGGTTGCCTTTGTTGTTGCACACTGATACCGCCTACTCCCCCCCAGCAGGGCCGCGGAAATCAGGGGAGAAAGAGATAAAGAGTGATTTCACTGTCGATTCAGTGCAAACAAACAATCAAAATCTCCCAGATGATCTCACGTCACTCGAGGACACTCTGAACCCCAACAAGACGTCTTATCGTACATGTGTGCACATTTCGCCAGCGGTGCTACGACAATTTGGAAATTTTTTCGGCCAGGACGTTCAGCAGGGCATCAGTAACCTAACTTTTTCATTCAATCTCTCTCCCTTTATCCCGTAAAATCCAGTGAAATCAGTCGTTTGGAACTGAACTCGATCCGCCGTGAATTGTGTTTTTTCCAGTGAATTGTTTTACCCATCGAACCAGTGATTTTGTGGGACTTTTTTAATCAAGCACAACGGGAACAGGTGACAATAGCCAGCCTCGCCATGTTAGATTTCATGAGATCGCTCATCGTCGAGCGCTGATTCGCGAAGGATCATATTTTTTTTTTCTTCCTTCCCCCCCAACACCCAGTTCTATTTTCCTTCCCAGTCCCTCGTATTTTTTTTTTTCTTTATGAGAATTTTCATCAGTGAGTTTTTGGTGTATTCGGTGGAGTTGTTTATTTGTTTGGATTACTCGCGTGTTTAATTGTGAAGATAATCTGGGGGGCACCGGCGAGACTCTAGTGAAACTGAAAAATCATCCAAGCTGGATAGGTTACCCGAGTATCTCCGCGATACCGTGGACTGGTTTTTGGGGTGAGTTGGTTTTTTTTCATCATTGATTTTCCTCACTTTCGATTGTGAGACCCTCTCAGGATGCATTTATTCTTGGGAATCTCAACTGCTCACTGCTGTTCACGATTGAAAGCCGTGAAAAGATTCTATTTTTTTATCGGTCTTTAATTAATGCCTCGGGAACATTTGAATTGTTAATTAGAGCTCTCATTGTTCGAGCACTCGGGGTTGTTTATTTACGTGGGTTGATTACACTTTGGAACATTCAGGTTTTTTTTTCCACCTTTTTTTCACGGGAGAAAGTTCCAGTGAGAGTCCAGCAGCGAGATTTGAATTAGAAGGAAACTCGTTTACAAGTTGATGAAAATGTGGATACCTCGAGGGGGAATTTGGTTTTCTTTCTCCAAAAGTGTGGGATTATTCCTCGTGTTTACGTGTTCTTTGGCCTTACGTAAATGAGGCAGCGTCACGGTTTAAAAAAAATTGTCCTTTTAATAGAGCCACGAGGTGGGAAAATATAGGGCAAATGAGGGGGAGTGAGCACTTTTGTCATAAACGTGACTGACAATTTGCTCAGTGAAAATGTCTTGTTTGTTGGCCCCTTTTGTACGTTTCGAGAGCTCCGTTATCGATCGTAAGAAAGTGTTACGAAGCACTCGAAACTCGATATACCCGAGACCCACGTACTCCAGCATTTTGTTCTTTTTACCTTCTCCATGCAGATGATAAATAACAAAATCCCAGAACTAATGTTTCGCTCCTGGGCAATGATTGAACGGAAAAAAAGGGAAAATGTTGCGAGACAAAATTTAATTAAAACCACTGGGTGAAATTGTAATCCCGATGCGCGTGTTATTTTCGTCGGGAATTTCGTGTATGTATGTGTCTCATGGGTGTTAGTAATGTTTTCTATTTTCGGCATTAACCGGTACACGTGTCTGTCCCGTTGGGAACTGCATTTTGAGTGACGAAAAATCAATAGGAAAAGTTTGATAATTATTTCCGGGAAATTATGAACGAAAAATTATGAATAAAAAGGAATGAGGGGGCAAATGGGGGGAGGGGTTTGGGAACTGCATTTTGAGTGACAAAAAAGGAATAGGAAGAGTTTTTTTTTATTCAGCACAAAACCGGTTGGTTTATACAGCTAAATAAGAAGAGTTTGATAATTATTTCCGTCAAATTATGAATAAAAAGGAATGAGGGGGAAAATGGGGGGAGGGGTTTGGGAACTGCATTTTGAGTGACAAAAAATGAATAGGAAGAGTTTTTTTTTATTCAGCACAAAACCGGTTGGTTTATACAGCTAAATAAGAAGAGTTTGATAATTATTTCCGTCAAATTATGAATAAAAAGGAATGAGGGGGCAAATGGGGGGAGGGGTTTGGGAACTGCATTTTGAGTGACAAAAAATGAATAGGAAGAGTTTTTTTTTATTCAGCACAAAACCGGTTGGTTTATACAGCTAAATAAGAAGAGTTTGATAATTATTTACGTCAAATTATGAATAAAAAGGAATGAGGGGGAAAATGGGGGGAGGGGTTTGGGAACTGCATTTTGAGTGACGAAAAATCAATAGAAAGAGTTTGAAAATTACTTCCGTCAAATTATGAACGAAAAATTATGAATAAAAAGGAATGAGGGGGCAAATGGGGGGAGGGGTTTGGGAACTGCATTTTGAGTGACAAAAAATGAATAGGAAGAGTTTTTTTTTATTCAGCACAAAACCGGTTGGTTTATACAGCTAAATAAGAAGAGTTTGATAATTATTTACGTCAAATTATGAATAAAAAGGAATGAGGGGGAAAATGGGGGGAGGGGTTTGGGAACTGCATTTTGAGTGACGAAAAATCAATAGAAAGAGTTTGAAAATTACTTCCGTCAAATTATGAACGAAAAATTATGAATAAAAAGGAATGAGGGGGCAAATGGGGGGAGGGGTTTGGGAACTGCATTTTGAGTGACGAAAAATCAATAGAAAGAGTTTGAAAATTACTACCGTGAAATTATGAACGAAAAATTATGAATAAAAAGGAATGAGGGGGCAAATGGGGGGAGGGGTTTGGCAACTGCATTTTGAGTGACGAAAAATCAATAGAAAGAGTTTGATAATTACTTCCGTGAAATTACGAATAAAAATTATGAATAAAAGAGGAATGGGGGGCAATCTTTATTTCCCACAGTCAATGATGTACTTTCATTCCCCCGTATCACTAGGTATTTCCGCTTGTAGAGATAACAAAAATGTTCTGCACGACTTGTCGTCTCACGGATTAGGTAAAGTACACAGTAAACAGTTAAAAATGAGATATCTATCCGGCGTGGAGATAAGAGGGGGGAAGTTTGTGGTAGTGTGAACATTTTGTGGGGCTTCGGTAGATATCAGCGCTCACTAATTGTATTACCGAAGGGCTTTGAGGTCTCAGGTGGCAACAAAAAGCGCTCAATCATCCGTCAAACGCGCTGTTGCGACAACTTCAGTAATTAATTTTGCATTTCAAACGGTTTTTCGGTGATAGATTTATTGAGAATGTTTGGCCTCGGTGGGCGCAAGATTTTCCGATACTCGTCGATCGAAAATGCGCTGCCACTAGATGTTGAGGAGACGGTGACTTGCTTCTGCAGGTCAGTTCGTCCAATAAAATTCGATTGAGTGATCCGTTTGTTTTGACCATAACTTCAATTCGTCGCACTCATTCGTTAATTGCGAGACTCATATGTGAAGAATAGTTTGGTTTGTGAGCGAGAAAGAGAGAGAGAGAGAGTGAGAGTGTGCGAGAGAGAGGGGTCGGGGGTGGGGGACTATCGATTGACGCAGCGGTGGTGAGAGACGACCGTCACTGGTCTGCGTTAGTCAGCTGACTCGAGTCAGCCGTAAACAGCTGATTCCCAAGGAACAGCATTTGCCGCTCACGGCAGGTGGGGTCTTGTCCTATTGCGGTATCACGCCGGTTTTCTTTTTTTGTCGCATTGCCGGCTTTCATGATTATTGTTGATAAATAATTCATTCGTTCGGTTAAATGATGAAGAATATTTTGTTCATGAGGGGGAAAAAACTGTTCGGCATTTTCGGAAGTGACGAGAAAAAAGTCGAGACAAGGTGGTTTTTTTTATTCTCGTTCATTGTGAGAAGGCTTTAATCGCGTGTTACTATTCCGTTGTACATTTTTCGAATGATAATTATCGAATAATTCCGTTGTAATTTAGGTGGAATATTGTTATGTAATGGTGAAGTGACTAACGGTTTCGGGGGAAATGTTGAATGTATGGGAGATTTCGTTAAAATTTCGGTATTTCCTGGGGGTTGGAGATATCATTGAACACTCGTGTTGGAATTTTGGTGATTCGTTTCAGTTTCGTGGAACTATTTTGGAAATCGATAAAACAATTATTCAGTTATAGTTTACTTAAAATTTTCTAATTTACAAATGAAGTGACACAAGTTTTCGTGGGAAATATTGAAATATATTTGGCGGTACCAACTTCAGTACTATTTTTTATGAATGGTGGATAGTCGGTCTACGAGAGGAAGAAAACTATTGGGCATTTTCATGAGTCAGGAGAAAAAAGCCGAGAGAAAGTGTTTTTTTATTAATTTCATTTAATTGTGTGGGGTTTTAGTTTCGTGCAACTATTTTGTAAATCGAAAAAACGATTGTTCAGTTATAGTTTACTTGAAACATTGCAATTTGCAAGTGAAGTGGCACAAGTTTTCGTAGGAAATATTGAAATATAGAGGAGATGCTCGTTAAAATTTCGGCATTTCCTGCAACAGTTTCGTGGATTTTGTAAATCGATAAAACAATTATTCAGTTATAGTTTACTTAAAATTTTCTAATTTACAAGTGAAGTGACACAAGTTTTCGTAGGAAATATTGAAATATATTTGGCTATATAGCCACGTCACTAGCATTTTCTATGAATGATGGATACTCGGTCTACGAGGGGAAGAAAACTATTGGGCATTTTCATGAGTCAGGAGAAAAAAGTCGAGAGAAAGTGTTTTTTTTATTAATTTCATTTAATTGTGTGGGGTTTTAGTTTCGTGCAACTATTTTGTAAATCGAAAAAACGATTATTCAGTTATAGTTTACTTAAAACATTGCAATTTGCAAGTGAAGTGGCACAAGTTTTCGTAGGAAATATTGAAATATAGGGGAGATGTTCGTTAAAATTTCGGTATTTCCTGGGGTTTGGAGATATTCATCGAAAACTTGTGTTGGAATTTTGTTGACGTATTTGGCTGCAGCCACTTGACTACTATTTTCTATGAATGATGGATACTCGGTCTACGAGGGGAAGAAAACTATTGGGCATTTTCATGAGTCAGGAGAAAAAAGTCGAGAGAAAGTGTTTTTTTTATTAATTTCATTTAATTGTGTGGGGTTTTAGTTTCGTGCAACTATTTTGTAAATCGAAAAAACGATTATTCAGTTACAGTTTACTTAAAACATTGTAATTTACAAGTGAAGTGGCACAAGTTTTTGTGGGGAAAACTGGAATAGAGGAAAAACATTTATCAAAATTTCGCCATCTCCTTTGGATTTAGAGGAATTCATCGAAAACTTGTGTTGGATGACTTGTGAATGATGAAGATGACAAAGTTTTTTTCTTTTTCTTTCAATCCCATGTCATTTTATTGAATTTTAGTTTCGTTTAACTAATAAATTCCGTTGTAATTTACTCAAAACATTGTACTTTACAAGTGAAGTGGCAAAAGTTTTCGTGGGGAACATTGGAATGGACGAAACACATTCACGAAAATGTTGTTATCTGATTTGGATTTAGAGATATTCAACGAAAACTCGTGTTGGGATTTAGCTGACGTATTTCGCTCTAGCCATTGTCTACTATTTTTGGTGAATGATAAAGGATATTAAGGCCGAGGGAGAAAACTATTGGGCATTTTCGTGAGTCAGGGAAAAAAAGTCGAGACAAAGTGTTTTTGTTATTTATAAATTGGAAAAAAAACATTCAGTTGTAATTCACTCAAAACATTTTCATGTACGAGTGAAATGGGAGAAATTTCTAGGCGAAGAACCCTCGTAAAGTTTCATAATCTCCCGAACACATTCATCGAGATGTCGTTATCTCATTTGAATTCGAAGATATTCATCGGAAACTCGTATTCGAATTTAGTAGTCGTATAGGGCTCTAGCCACTTGACTACTATTTTCGGTGAACGATGAAGGATATTCCATCTACGAGGAGAAGAAAACTCTTGGACATTTTCATGAATCACGAGAAAAAAATGTGGACAAAGCGTTTTTTAAATTTCATTTAATTGCGTGGGGGTTCTTCTTACGTTTAACGATACAGAATTGAATCTGAGAGACCACAAATAATTATTCCACTTAAAAAACAATTGTCAACTTACTGCTTTCTAATTTATTTAATACATCTAAATGCAGCAGTGGAATAAAAATTCATAAAAATTCCGTTCGTGAGGGGAAGAAAACTATTAGACGTTTCCATGAGTCAGGAGAAAAAAAATCTAGACAAAGTGATTTTATTTCAATTCTAATTCCTCGCGTCGATGTTTTTATTTCGTGAAATAAAATCTAAAAAATCCCGAATAATTTTTTTAATAGACAATATAATTATCAACGTAACAGTCTTTCATCACTCGCATAAATTCTTGTTACAGAAAAGCCCGAAGAAAGGAGAAAGATGCAGGAACAACTGAAGACCCAAAATTGTATTTGGAGGAGGCAACACTGGAGCGACAGCTGCCCGAGTTGGATCTCAGAATGATGGTCGATTTGCCACCAGGACTCGACTATAACGAATGGCTTGCATCCCACACACTGGCACTGTTCGACCACATAAACTTATTCTATGGAACTATTTCTGAATTTTGTACCTCAACAGGATGCCCAGATATGACGGGCCCTGGCTTAAGGTAATCCATCCTGTTTCATAATAATAATAATAATAATAATAATAATAATAATAATAATAATAATAATAATAATAATAATAATAAACCCTCCAGTCCCTCAATCACTTCTCCAATGAATCATCTCGTTATGAAATTTTCAGAACTTATTTGTGGTTTGACGAGAAGGGGAAGAAGACGAGAGTGGCTGCGCCACAGTATATAGACTACGTCATGACGTTTACACAGAGAACCGTTAGTGATGAAACAATATTCCCTACTAAATACGGTAAAGCCTCAGATTTTTTATAATTAATTTAACCTTGCGAAATTCGTTCTAAAAAAGAGATTTCGTCTAGTATTGCGATAAAATAGAGAGAATGAGATAATATGGGTGATTTCCAATATTTATTGGGTTTGAAGGACAAATAAATTAACAATAATCAATGATAAATATCAGACAGTCGATATATTTGAAGGCCGTGACTATTCGCTCGATTGCGTGAATCACTCCCGTACACTCCACGCATGCGTGAAGTTTGTGTGTTTCACGCAGCCGAATTTTCATACTGCTGTGTATTTCACGCAGTTGAAGTTTCATACTACTGTGTGTTTCACGCAGTTGTATTTTTATACACCTGTGTGTTTCACGCAGTTGTATTTTTATACACCTGTGTGTTTCACGGCGTCGTATTCAGATACTCCTGTGTATTTCACACTCCTGTGTGTATAAACACACAGGTGTATAAAACTTCAACTGCGTGAAACACACAGGCGTATCAAAATGCAACTGCGTGAAACACACAGGTGTATAAAAATACAACTGCGTGAAATACACAGCAGTATGAAAATTCGGCTGCATGAAACACACAAACTTCACGCATGCGTGGAGTGTATGGAGTGTACGGGAGTGATTCACGCAATGGTGCGTTTAGTCACGGCCATGTTTGAATGAAAATGTGCACTTGTTTAAAATATTCACAATTTAATGTCATGTGGAATTTTTTTGAGCAAAAATCAAACTTTTGGATTTTCAATTCTATTTTTTGTCTTGATAGGTAACATTAGTTATCTAATCGTCAGTTTCAGGTAATTTTATTGTGATGAAACAACAAATTTTCTTACCAGGGATTTTAAATAAATGAATCAATCGTAGTCAAAAAGCAAAAATCAACACAATTCAAAACTTGAAAACTATTTTATTACCTCAGGATCATACTTTACAGTTTGATTTTGTCGAGAAGTTTTTCTAAAATTAAAAATGTTGAGTAATAAATTTTCTATCTCGTTTCGATGTGCAGCACTTGTGCACAAAAATTGTGAATATCAACCCAATTTTTTCCTTCAAAACTAATTTTTTTTATCGTCTCCAAAAATTTATTTACCAGAATGAAATGTTAAATTTCAACTGTTGAATTTCATTTCTCATTTTGACATGCAGTAATAGTTATCTAATCGTCAGTATCTCATAATTTTATTGTGGTTTTGTAGCAAACGAGTTTCCCAGCTCGTTTGAGTCGATAGTGCGTAAGATTCTGCGGCTACTGTACCATGTAGTGGCACACATTTACCACTGCCACTTCAGAGAGGTTGCACTCCTGGGCCTCCACGCTCACCTCAATTGTGTATTCGCCCACCTCACTCTCCTTAATCAACGCTTCAATCTCATTGACGCCAAGGAAACGGAAATACTTGGAGATTTGGAGGCAGCTTTACTAGGTAAATAACACCCGTGCACTCTTCAAAATAAAAAATAAAAAAATTAAAGTGTAACAGAGCAATTTTACAAATTAACTCAGGGAGATAATTAATTGCTGTAATCTTTCTTCATTGCTTTACCTCAATATTCATTATTCCAGGTGACTCCACATCGGGTACATCAACTACAACATCAATTCAAGATCCACCAAGTGGAGCCACGTAGAAAATAAATCCGTTTATAGAATTTTAATTAAAAGTTGATGAATAACCGAGGTTGCAGTTCCTGAGCCTAGGGTCAAACGATGTAGGTGGAAGCCCCTAATGTTCGTTGTTCTCAATATTAAAAAAATTTTTTATTACATTTTTTTTCGGATTTAGCTTATGAACAAAATGAAGCGTCACGATAAATAGAGAGAAATGGCATGAATACTTGAACGACAGTGATATGACAGTTTCATTTAAGAAAGAACGCGAGTGAGACGAAAATGCATGTTGAGAATGCGAAGAGAAACAAAAAATTTATGAAAAATCATGAATATTCGAATGATGCTGAGAGAGAATAAATCACGTATGTAGTATTTGTAAATAGTGCAAACGAGGCGAGAGAGCAAACAAATACAATTATGTAAATTAGTCAATTTTTTTTCTGCGTTTGCTGTTTGTGAGATTGTACATAATTTATTAAACAAAAATAGTGAAAAATGCAGAGGAAGAGTGAAATGAATCAATAAAACAAATGGATGAAAACGTTGAAACTGCTGTAATAAAATAATTGTTCTGTAAAAAAATTTAATGAGGAGAAAAGGTGAATGAAAAAAAAAATTAAAAACAATAATAATATTGTAAACATAAATTGAATAGTAATAAATATATACCTGGCGTTGAAATGTTCTTATGTTGTTGTTATTCGTTGTTTATCAAGTGGGAATATCTCCGTCTGTAACATTTCTGTTGATCTCGATTAGTCTTATTGCTTGAAAAAGGCGTGACAATTCACGAATGAAGAAACCTATTGCCTCGGCTATTGGTTCGCAGAGATCTCGCAAGGACGTTGCTATATTGTAGAGTAATATTAGCACTGGTTGAATTAGTGCATTGAATATTATCGTCAACAGGGGCTTGATGAAGTAGTCGGATAGTAATTGAATTATTCCAATCGTTAGGGGCCTTATCAGGCTGTACAGAATGAAGCGAAGCAGTTGGAGGAGGAATGCTGTTATGAACGTTATTCCTATGTTTATTGTGCCAAAAAATTCTGCCCAGAACCTTGTCGCTGCTTGATCAGTCTTGTCCGCAAATTTTTCGGTCGTCAGGAGGGGAATTGCATCGGTTGTTCGGTAGTATCTATTCATTTGGGAGAATTGTGCATGAGTGAAAATTAGTTATTTATTTTTGGGGCTGTGTGGAAGGGTCTTGGACTTTTGGCCCATAAATCATTCGTCTTGTCTCGTTTTTCTCGTTTTTATTCTATCGTATTGTGACATTGTGACACGAATGAACGATCTTCATAGAAAAACCTAGCGGATTCGGTGATTAATTCTAATGATTTCTAATGAACTTTCGATTTTGTTTTCAATAGGAATGTTCAATGGACCATATTGTACAGAAAAAATTAATATTACTCGATCATGGCGTTGGATTCCATTTTAAAATTGTGGAAATACTGCACTGGGAAAATGGGAGAAAGCGACAGGAATGGCCATATCTATAAATTATAATTGGTGTTAAATTATTAAGCAGTCAATTAGTTAATGTCACTCTTAAATTTTGATTATTGAAGTAATCATCAAATTAAACAGTCAAAGTTCGAATTATTCATTAATCAGTAATTGAGTTAAGAAGATTGGTGATTATTTGGGTAATCGAAAATCTCTTATGAGAAATTTAGTATTATCTAATTAATAGGAAATTTATAGTTCCACATTTTTAAATATTTAAATCATCATACATTGGAAATTTAGATTATCAAATATTTCATTATTTCTAAATTTCGCTTAGTATATTTAAACCTTCATCAATGTAAGTCGGAAATTCTTTTAATATTGAAGAACCGGAAGATTGATGGCCGTCAATAATTGATAGAAAGCAATAAGAAAAAACAAATTAACAAAAGAAGAGTTCATAAGCTTGATAAATGTTTTCACTGGTGCTTAATTTATTACTCATAATTGGAATATATTTATTACTCATAATTTATTATGAGTAATTTATTACCCATAATTTTAATCCATTTAATGAATAATTAAATGGACGGATAATTAAATGATTTCTAATTAGAAAAAACAATCCGAATGAAATGGATGAAAAGTACTGGACCCTTATGGAACAGTCAAGAGGGATTTTATATACCTACGATGCATTACCGTGATCAAAATAGTAGATTTCGATTTTTCCAGTGATATTCTTGAATTTTTTATGAATCTCGTTGACATCAGAGTTCATGTTCGGCGGTAGAAGGTGGCAGGGATTTTGTTTTATTCCTGTCGAGGGCACACACTTCATGTAGGGCTTCTCTGACCTAGAGGGTCGACGGGGCCACTTCCGGGAGAAATTTCTGGGGCTCTCGGGATTTATTTCCTGGGTCGGTCCATTCCACTCCATTGGGGGAACACATGGGGTTCTAGAATTTATGATTCGGCGATTGGGGTTGTCTTTGGGATGGGGAGATATTGACTCACATTCTGTAAGCGTGGCAAAGACACTCACTGGACTCCCAATCGCCACGTGGATTCTTCGATTTTTGATTTTTCGGGGGCAATTGATTCGGCTTTTGATCGTTTCTCTTGGTTTTTTTTATGTCTGTCGTTGTGTCTGAGGAGATTGACACTGAGGCGTCTGTATTTCTGTCCTCTACTGTCATACTTAAAAACTATCTCTAAAAAATGTAAAAGATTTAGGCGATAAAATGGTTAGGTAAATGTCAACACAATTCGACATGCTTCATGTCAAAGCTGACGATTGGACCAGCTTGTGTTCTATTCTTTTTTGTTTAGATGGGGGAAAACAGAACCTCCACGAAATTTTCATAATTTTTTTATTTTTCGTCCATTAGGAGGAATCAATGACCACTCATCTCGAATTTATACAATTTGTTTACAATCCTTTAACCACTAAAGTACACTGATAGTTCAGAGAGAAATCAAAATATTGACTTTTTTTTTCGTCAAGTTTTCGACTTTATTTTACGACAGACAGACGATTTGTAAAAATCACAGTTTTTAGTAATTAAGGGTCTATGAGGATGTCAACTTGCTGTTCAGCATGGAATGAATGAAATTTTTGAAGAATATAAATTATTACTGCTAATGTAAAAGAACAATTATTTATAAAATCATGAATTCATAGATTATCTAAAATTTACTGAATTAAAAAATATATATTTGAGGCAATATGAATGAATGATACTTCCTGTGATAATGGAATGATTAGATACTGCGAAAAGCTGCGCATCCCTTCAGAGGGTAATTAAAGCAGAATGAAAACGCGTTTCTGAATTTCCATTTTTTTTATTTTTTCTCCTTCAGGAGAGATCACTGATCTATCATTATCTCGAATTTATACAATTTGTTTACAATCCTTTAGCCACTAAATTACACTGATAGTTCAGAGAGAAATCAAAATATTGACATGTTTTTTTTCGTCAAGTTTTCGACGTTATTTTACTTGACAGACAGACGATTTGTAAAAATCACAGTTCTTAGTAATTACGGGTCTATGAGGATGTGAACTTGCTTTTCAGCATGGAATGAATGGAATTTTTGAAGAATATAAATTATTACTTCTAATGCAAAAGAATAATTATCCATAAAAGCGATGAATTATCGAAAATTCATAGTCATAAGAAAAGTTTGAGAAAATGCGAATAAATGACACTTTCTATGACAATGAAACAATTACATAATGACGCAAGTTGCACATCCTCCCAGAGAATGATTAAAACTGAATGAAAATGCGCCTCCGAATAATCTAGACACTGATACGCCTCGACCCGTCCTCTGATATCAATAAGTAATACACAGAAATATTTTTAACGCTTTAAAGTTAAGACTAGAGAGTGAAAAAAAAACTTTTCTCTTGTCCCAAATCACTTCACACACCCAATCCGAAGACTACAATGCTTTATCATACCGATTTGATTATGTTGACACTAAAGATTCATTATCATTAGCTCAATGCGATGTATTGATCTGTTTATTTTTTGTGTTCGTAAATATTTAAATTGCGAGCGCCTATCGAATGGTGCATAACAATTAATAAATATTTATCACGCTCAGGCAATAATTTATTCAGCGATTTTATATCTCATTACTTCCTCAGCCATATTGTGTATCGATTTCGCAGCATATAAAATTTATCCCCGAGGGATAACAGAATTTCTTCGAATGTACACGAAATAAAAAATCCCCCATAATTGTGACCTCAAGGATTTTCACCTTAAAAAAAAAATCCCAGAAAATTGGAACTACTTCCTGGAATGTCAGGTAATTCATTTGTACATAAAAAAAAGTCATACGTAAAAAATTGAGTTACACAATAATCGATAAATCATTAATTACAAAATGAATCCCTGAAAACACAATGCACTAATTTCATTGAGTATTTTTCAACGTCAAACAATGAAAACTATTTACACGTATAGTTTTTCTCCCCTACCATTGAAAATTTTGAATAGCGAAAAATAGGGAGCTGCCCTCTATTTTACTTTAGAATATCGTCAGGATAATTTTTTCTTCTACGCATTACTAACAGATTATGGACCTAATAATGTTCCAGTTACGAAAAAAGGAATAACTCAAGGTATGAAAGGATCGTGAAGAGATGTGCTATGGGACATTCTTATAGGCTGATTCGGACAACTTCTGCACACTTTTTGTTTATGGAATTTGTGGAATTCGCACAATTTTCCAAGTCCCAATTCTTATATAATTTCTATGCACGAATTGCATCCAGAAATTATCCAAATTATATAGGATAAAGTTGTAGAATTCCCTATATGAACGTTCTACAGAACCTCTATATAAGCAGCGAAGTGGAAAACGACACAAGTCAATTTTGACTATTGGCGAGTTTTCAATGAATATCTCGGAATCTATGAAAAATAGAAAAATTTTTGTTATAATCTTTTTTGTAGAGCCGATTGAGAGCTACAACAAATGCAATTACAAAAATTTCGCTATGTCTCTTAGATTCGGAAATATTTATCAAAAACTCAACTGGAAGATAAGTCGACTAAACAGTTTTACCACTTCGCTACTGATATGATCTTTTCATGTGTTCAATCTCAGAAATGCTCCCACTCCCCTTGATTCCGAACGTCACATAAGTGTTCTTAAAAAATATGTTTATTCACAAATGACAAATCCACACAGAAATGACCAAGCCCACTTCTTTGGTAAATAAGATTAATACGAGAGATACTTGAAAAAAGTAATACGACGTTGTGACAAGTGATATGGCTCTCAGTGTGCAACAATGTATCCTGATTCGCTGTGTTGTCAGAGATTTAGGTACATACGATATTTTCAACAACTTATTGATTATTTTAAAATGTAATTAGACGTACTGATAGTTGTCCTTGCCTGTAAGCAGTGGTAATTTTTCCACACAATGTTTAGTATCAAAACTGTGGAGCCAGTCGGAGCTTGGTTTGGCCTTTATACCGCAGAAACTAAAATTACAAAAGTCTGCGATATTTTGTAGTGCTCCACGATGAAATGGATTTCCTTGTTTAAAGTGCTCGTAACGACCGGCATTCATTCTCTCATTTGTTGTCATTCCCAAGACCATAATCTGCAGAATGAAAAAAAAAAAATTTTGAATTAAAATTAAAGATATCGTTTTTCGTTCGTTGAAATCGTTAGAACATTGTAACATTTCGTTTAAACATCACAAACATTTTTTAAATCTCAGAACAATTAGAAGCTCGACAAAATAATTTTTTGAAGATTATGATATTTTCTTTTAAATTAATTTCATGAAAAGAAATGAAAAATTCAATGAATAAAAAAAAATTACAAATAATATTTGAATGTTCCTGATTATTCATTAGTTTTTTTAAATTTGATGATTAATAATTGTGGAAATTTGTGAAATGAATGAATACCTGATAGAGTTGACAGCCTAACAGAACGGAAACCCAGAGTGCATGAAGCCCAGTATTGGCTGCTATCCACATGACCCATGCGTCACATGTTGCAGCAGCTATGAAGTAATTATCGACTCGATGGCCATTCGTCAAGTTCGACCAGCACTCAAACTGCCAATATTGCACGCTGGCGGATAATATGACGATGCACAGACCAAGTAGTGATATAAGGAAGCCAAGGAAGTATTTGTGATTATGTGCCCCTGGAACATAAATATTATATCACAATTCTTCACTACTTATGAAAGAATTCAACGGAGAAACTAAACCATTCGTTGGGAATTCTATTAGAATTTCAATTCTCGAGCATCAATTTTCCCTTCTTTGGGTTTTCCACGAAATTTTTTTAACATTTATTCTCGAGAATTTCTACAGACCGAAGTGTTGTGAATTTTCAATTTTTCACTAGAAATCAGTAAAAAAACTAATGTAATTTCCTAACGGATTTTTTTTCTGCACACGACTCATTTCTGAAGGGTAAAAAAATTGATTTTCATTCACACCAATGCAGTTGCTGATCCAAGGACAATGATGATCGAATCTAGCGACACAGCGATCACAAGTGGAACAGTGTTTTGACCTCAGTGGCCTTCTGACTAGACAAGTGGTGCAGAACCACTGCGGCTCGAAGCCCCCGGTTTCTGCCAGCTCAACGATAGTCTGAAAGAAGAAGAAAAAAAAATAACCAAGAGATTAAATAACTGATCGATTTCTGTCGATTGAATTGATTTCCCAGCAAACGTACACTCAATTTGTCCTCATGCGTAGCTGCAATGACCCCAGGATCTCCCCTCCAAGAACGAAGAAAGCATATCCACAGTGGAACTGAGCCACCGACTAGCAGCAGCCATAGGTACCAAGAGGCATGAACACCCAGCCAGAATATCCAAGTGACGTAAATCCACATCTGCAATCATTTTTTTTCATGATTAAAGTCTAATTTTTATCCCATTAGACTCGACAATATAGACTTGACAATATAGTTGTACCTTCGTTGCTAAATATGTTGCCATTGGCAGAACATTGTAGAGCCTCTCGTCGAACAGAAATGTTTTAGCAGTGTATGCACCGATGTAGAGCAACATAAAGGCACCGAGTTTAACGAGATAATCAACGTTTAATTGAAATATCATTCCGATTAGATAAAACACTATGAATGGAGCACTGACCATGCAGTACCATCTTAATCTCTGAAAAAATATAAATTGCATGGAATTATTTCCTATAATTAAAACTGACAACTGTGCAAAACATTTTGGAATTGAATAATACAAAAATGACATTTTCATTCATATTTTTTTTTGAGAATTATTATCTAGACAGGAATTGAATCAAGAGAGAATCTTCACAAGATATTTTTTGACTCTCTTCACATTTATGTCGAGGGAATTTGAATAAAAATGTGCATTAAAAAATTTAATTGTTAATGTTAGTTGTCAAATTGAATTGAAAAATAAAAAACTACCTTGTCTCGACACCAGGCTCTAGTTCTCCCCTGTTTCTCGACAATTTCCGTGCTGATACCAGGGCCAAGCCAAGCAGCTCCGATATGGGGTCCCAACAGTGTCATCGGTGTTTCATTCTGAAAATTAGGTACATCGAGTGCAGCCCCCTGACGAACGAGGGTAGAAATTGCAGTATTATTCTTGGCGACAATGGCCCAATGCAGTGCTGTATTTCCATGGAGATTATCAGTCAATGCGTGACTGGCGCCAAGCATAAGAAGCAGTCTCGTTGGATCCAGACTGAAAAAGGGAGTGAATTGGCTACATCACGAGTTGATATTTCCTCCTCTACGCGCAGGGAAATTTTATGGACCCTTCGTGGAACACGTGGCTTAAATTTACGTGAATTAATATCATTGGGGAGAGTGGGTATGAATTCCGGTGAACAAACGAATGAGATTCGACGAGAACTTTAAATTAAGGATATCCAAGTATCTTTCACAGTTTGGTACCGACCGCACTGTAGATCCAACCGTTTTTAATCATCAAATTTCTCAATTAAATTGCGTGAGAGAATTTTGAAAAAAAATCATGGGTATTCAGCGTCATTCAAATTACATTTTGCACTGAATTATAATTTTTTTCAACATTTGTTGTTTATTAATAAATGATTGAAATTGTTTAAACTTTCGGAGACCTGATTTTTTAGGAATGAAATCAATTTCTGGTTGAATTCTGAATATGAATAAATTTGTTACATTGATGATTATGAATTATTTATAGAAAATGCTCGTGATTTTCAAAAATTGCAGTTTTTCAATTATTTCATCAAACTTTCTCCAAAAGTAAACTAATTTTTTTTCAGATTTTTAAAATGTTTTCTAAAGGTTCAATATCGAGATTCAACTGCAGAACTGAAAATTTTGAATGATAAAATCATTGTAAAATGTCCGAAAAATTAGGGTCAAATGGGGCTCAAATAAAAGCCCTGATGTTCGACTACAAAAGTAGAAAAGCATTCCACCGGAGAAAAAATAGCCAAAATCCTTGGATATCCCCAAAGTTCATAATGTTTCAGAGAATTCATGAACCATTCTTCCAGAACGATAAAGATCGCATTTCTCTCAACTGATTATCTCCGTCACAAATAAATGCACCAATTGATTCGATCAATAGATGGCCTTCACCACTGGACTATCCCCCTGTTTACATCTCGAAAAAAGGCATAAATTAATTCCCCAATTGATCTCAAATAATTGAATCCTTCCGAATAACGTCCCCACTCACCCCACCATAAATTAACCCTCCACCACATGTGGCCCACGAAGGGCAGAACGACTTCTCGACAATTACCTGTTGACTTTGTAAGCACTCCACATCAACGGTGTCATAGCACTGCGATCAGGCGTATTAGGATTAACCCCTTTGGCAACTAAATAAGCGACAATTCCAGTGTGTCCAAACTGAGCTGCCAAGTGGATGCACGCAAAGCCCTCGCAGTCTCTGAGGGTGGGATCCGCTCCAGCCCTCATGAGAATAGCGAACGTCTCGAGATGTCCCTGCCTCGTGGCCCAGTGCAGAGGTGTCGAGGCCAGTTCTCCACCCACAGCATCGACATTGGCCCCCTTGGCTATCAAATACTTGACTATTTCTTTTCTGTTGTTTATGGCTGCCCAGTGGAGCAACGTCACTGTCTCAGCGTCTGGCTGATTGACATCAGCACCAGCATCGACTAGTTCTGTTACTCGTTCGAGGGCTCCATACTGGGTGGCTCTGACAATGTCGAAACTACTGCAGTCCTGAGTCGATCTCGGTGGCTCCTGGCGCCGACGAGTCTCCTGCTCGTCTTGACTGTCCTCCCCAGGACATGCTGAACGAATTGGAAGCGCGTACATCCTGAATAAATATTTATTTATTTACAACCGATCTCGTCGCAGGACGATCGCGACTGCCCATCGGCGGAGGGCCTTCAGCCTGGTATTTACGTATGATATACAGTGTTCTGATTATATAGAACACAGGAAGACAATGAAAGAAAAAAGAATCTATTATTATATAAATCGAAATCGACTTCTGGTGATGAAAATTTGGTATTCGAAATTAAGACTCCAAAATTAAGGGTGACAAGGGTCAAGATAATGGTCATGAGGGCCAGGATAAGGGTCACAAGGGTCAAAATAATGGTCATAAGGGTCAGAATAAAGTTCGTAAGGGTCAGGTTAAAGGTCATGAGTCAGATTAAGGGCCATGAGGGTTAGAATAAGGGTCATGGGGTCACAAGGGTCAGATGGATCAGATTAAGAGTCACAAGGGTTAGTTTAAGGGTCACAAAGGGCAGATTAAGGTTCCAAATAAGGGTCATGGGGTTCAGAATCTCAGGGTCACAAGGGTCAAAATACGGATCTCTATATCTCTCTGTATTTTAAAAATCCAAATGGACTTCTGGTGATGAAAATTTGATACTCGAAATTAAGACTTAAATTCAGGAATGAATGAATCAATGAGAATTTCATTTCCACCAACATTAATCAACAATTGTTGACATTGTTGCATATTACTAATGACTATGTCTAGAAACCGTTATTCGACCCCCATCTTTCAAAATATTAAGCTTTATTTTTTCGATGGGATATTTTTCATTGACTTTCCAGATAATTTTTTCGGGGAAGTACAGTGATTAAGAGTCATGATTATTTGTTCAAGAGTTCATTGGTCTTGACACACGGAAATATCATAAGAATGAAACCACACGAAAGGGGGAGATGTTTAATATTTGATGTGAGAGTGCTCAAACAGATAATACCGAATAGTGTTCTTGTTAATGTCGAATAGTCAAATAGAAATAGCTTGATTTTCACTTAATATTGCTCCATGCATTACGAATAGCTGTCTTGATAAACCTTTATGTCAGCTATTCCTCACATGTAATTCTCCTTGACTTCAATTTGTTTATCGAGACATTTTTCACTGAATTCCGAGACGACTCCTCAAAGTAAATGAAGTACTTGAGGACTACGACTGCTTATTCTACAAAATAAAATGATGAAATGTCAAAATAAAATGGGAAATGCGTCTAGTGATTCAGCGAAAAATGCTCCATCCAAATACATAAGAATATCAAATTTCCAATTGTCTCACATTTAACTGATCTTGTTGAACCCAGTGAAGTAAAAATCTTCGATTGTTAGTTTTAAAAAAATCAATATGACCATTCGAAATGCTGTGCTGATGCTCACCTGTCGATTATTGTTTTCAATCTCTACCGAATAATCCAAACGAGCTTGTCAGCATTGTTGAGGTTAAAATTGGGGGTTTATTGTGATCATCAGGGATTCACGAAGGATTCATGGAGGGATCGAAGACAGCAATGAAACAATGCGCGTGTGTAGTGCGTTAGGTAGTGAAAAGAATGCCAGAAATTCCAGAAACTTAACAATAATCACACATCACTGATAACGCGCCTCATTATCCGATGCTTGAAGATTAATTCATTGAATTTAACGAGTACTTTAATGGGGAAGGGAAGGAAATTGCTGGAATTCCAGGGGAGTGACTCCAAGCACTCGAGTATTTACACTCGACAGTATCAAACACACAATTGCAGCGGTTGAAGTTGAATTTATTATTTGAGTTCACTGCAGAATGCGGTTATTGATCAAACTTGGTATTGATTTTGATCGGTGGATATATTTTTTATAGATAATTTGTTTCAATCGATTTTTGGGGGCCGAAAATAGAGAGATGGAATAGTCGAGGCCGAAGGCAACTGCGGGAACTGAGACCAACAGTTTTGGTTAGGTTTTAATTTTTATCGTTAACCAGTGCCCCCGTGAGGGGAAGGTGTTTTCGGATTGGTGAACCACGTGGGGATAAGGTATCGAGTGTCGATCCACCTTACCGATGACCGATAACTTCGGATGTGGAGGTCCTATCGAGATGCTAGCGAGGACATTGAGAACGAATTCTCGGTTTCAAAAGCTGTAGATTTAGAATTATGCGGCTGTTAGGAGAACAATAGTCCTGAGAAGCGTTGATTTTACTTGAATAAAGATTAATAATATCATTCTTCAACAGCCTTAAGAGGCCTCGGAAGAAGGAACAAAAACATTGCAAACAAGCAATATTTCAATATCAATATACCAATATTTTTGCGAAGTGTACCCCTCCCGCCGCCACAGAGGGCTTTAAACATGGCGGCGCCTCCACCTCGCATTTTCAAACATCCATTAACATTATTCATCCCCTCCATATTACCTTCAACTCGCTTCATCCGAATTCTACAAAATGAAGAAATTATTTAAGCCACCTTTCAGATTTTTCCAACCACTCTTGGCTGAGAATTCATGGCTCAAAGTTTTCCCCCCATTTTCGTAGTCTATTTTCCTTACTTTCGAGGCTTCCTAATTATGAAAACACGATAATAAGGGATCGGAAGATCAGCAATTCCCGATGCCCGGAAGTTCCTCATACCATCGAGTAGACGGAATAAATAAATAGTTTGCATTTGTATGTAAATTTACATGAAGACTGTGTTCAAACAACCGTGATCTTCTTCCCGCTGGTCTCCTCTCCTGAGAGTCGAAAATACGAGGACGAGCGGGTCCAAAGAAAGATAATCAATCGAGAGTAAGGGTAAACTGATATCTTATCAAAGTTAGTCCATCTTAACGTTAAAGTTGGGTTGAAGGTAGTGCGCGAGAGAGAGGGAGTAGAGTTGAACCAATAGTTACCATCGCCCCCATCTCATCCCACGGTTCTGATTCTCTCTCTCTCTCTCTTTCTCTCTCTCTCTTTCTCTCTCTCTCGCTCTATCTCTGGATCATTCTCCGGCGCGCTTTCTCTCTCGCGCCCTCCTGGAGACTCGTCGTCGCCACAACTACTGCCGCTGTCTGTCCATATCCCACACATCCTCGCTGTATCCCCTCGAACTTTGTCGATCAGAGTTGAAAGTAAGCTTACGGAGTACACGTTGAGTATACAGAGCCTGCAATATGTATAATGCAAGACCTTTATTACATTATTTTGATATTAATAGGAATTAATAGACTGCAGGCAAGTTGTGAGAGTTTAAGGATATCCAAGGATATCCATTTTTCGCAGTTTGGTACAGACCACTCTATAGATTTAAACATTTTCAATCACTAGATTAGTTCGCGCGCTTCGCGCGCGTATGTCCTGCTTGATGGGGCTTAAAGTAGCTCTACCCTTACGGTAAATTAAAAGATTATTGAAAACTGCAAAAAAAATGAAGAAAACTCGATTACATTTGAAATCGTAATTTTTTTCTTAATTTAATTATCGTTTTGCTTTCTGAAAGAAGAAATGTTTAAAAATCAGGATTTAACCCAATGTCTTATGTAAAAATCAACATTTTCGTTATAAGAAAAGATTAAAATCTGAATTTTTTATCATTAGATGTGAAAAAATCAAAAAACTTTTTGACACCTCATAATAAATTTTTTATTCCTGAATAAAGGGATCACATTTGTCAATTGATTCGGAATATTGCACAGAATTATTATTTTTTAAAACACGGTAAATTAAAAGATTATTGAAAACTGCAAAAAAAAAATGAAGAAAACTCGATTACATTTGAAATCGTAATTTTTTTCTTAATTTAATTATCTTTTTGCTTTCTGAAAGAAGAAATGTTTAAAAATCAGGATTTAACCCAATGTTTTATGTAAAAATCAACATTTTCGTTATAAGAAAAGATTAAAATCTGAATTTTTTATCATTAGATGTGAAAAAATCAAGAAACTTTTTGACACCTCATAATAAATTTTTTATTCCTGAATAAAGGGAAGGATCACATTTGTCAATTAATTCGGAATATTGCACAGAATTATTATTTTTTAAAACATGCGTTGTTTATAAGTAAATAATTGAAATTGTTTAACCATTTGAAAACCTCCTTTTTTAGGCATCAAATTGATTTCTGGTGAAATTCTGAATATGACTAGATTTGTTACGACTCTGAACAAATGATTTTTACGGTGAAAAATTAATTGTTTGTAAATGATTTATAGAAAAGGCTCATAATTCATAAAAATTGTAATTTTAGAATTATTCCATGAATCTTCCTCCCTTTAAAATATTTTCTAACGATTCAATATCGAGGTTCAAATTCAAGCCTGTAAAGTTTAAATAATAAATTCATTGTAAAATGTCCGGAAATTTAGGGTCAAAAGAAAGCTTTCATGTTCGACTACAAAAGTAGAAAAGCTTTTCACTGGAGAAAAAATAGTCAAAGTGCTTGGATATCCTTAAGAAGGCTCTTATCAGTTCGGAGGAAATGTCTATCATTTTACCCTCCCGTGGTTGTTCCAGTTACGACTGAATTTCCCAACTGAGCCCATGAATTTTCATCGCAATAATGTTTACAACTTCGATTGGTAATTCTTTATCCCAGTTTCCCCGAACAACTTCCATGATTCTTCTGAGCAAAGGCCTGATCATTAGTGGGTCTAGGCACGTAACTGAGTGATAGTCACTCGAGCTTGGCTCGGTGACAGCATCCAATCTCCGGTTACTTTCCTCCCTCGATGCTAAACACGTCTAGGCTAGCGTTTTATCATGCCAAAGTACATCCAAAAACAATTTCTGTTGTTGGGGTGATTGAGGCTTATCAATTCTGCTTAATTGCTTCCCCAAACTCTCGCTGAATGATTTGGTTCAACGAAATAAATTATTTCGACCGGTGTATTCATATTCTGTATTATCCCCGGGCTATTTTACTCGATCAAACCCTTGATGTTTTAAGATATAAATTACATGGAAAGTAGGATGCTGCACTGATAGAAAGGATTAGTTATTATTAACGAATGGATTTGGTTGGAGACGAGGGTCTACTCGGTCTCACCAAATGTTCATTCGTTAATAGTTAACAAATGCACATTTGAGGAGTCCTGTTTGACTCGATTTTTCCTTTTTAAGTGGACCATTCGTTAATTATTAACGAATATTCATTTGGGCATATTCAACTCTACCATTCGTTAATAGTTAACAAATGCACATTTGAGGAGTCCTGTTTGACTCGATTTTTCCTTTTTAAGTGGACCATTCGTTAATTATTAACGAATATTCATTTGGGCATATTCAACTCTACCATTCGTTAATAGTTAACAAATGCACATTTGAGGAGTCCTGTTTGACTCGATTTTTCCTTTTTAAGTGGACCATTCGTTAATTATTAACGAATATTCATTTGGGCATATTCAACTCTACCATTCGTTGATAGTTAACGAATCTCGTTTGGAATAAATGAATCAGTCTATCAGTGTGTACGCAATCCTTTGACTTGCCGGACGGTGCACGGAGAGAAATATTCAGTAAAAATTACGGAACTCACAGTTCGCTCAGCGATTACGAAATTGACTCAGAAAATTTAACCCCAGACTGGTCACGATGGTTTGTTTTCATTAAAACCCTTCTAGTAAATTCACTGTGGTCACGATTCCCCAAGGAAATTCTCTACTCTTCTTCACTCACTTTTACCGCAAGAGAGTTAATGAAAATTTAAATAGAAGGCGATCCGTCGATACCTGTATCTGTTATTTCTCGAATTTCGCGAATGAAAAACCGTAATTGTACCTGATTTATGCGATGGAAAAAAGAAAGGGGAGGACAATGAATAAAAAACACATCAAGCTGTCATTTTACTATTTAAAGTTCTGCCGCGGGTCAATACAATAATTTTACCCCCAAAAAAATTGTCCTCTCAATTTATGGACTGTTTAAGTCAAGTAGAGCTATTTATGATCTCAAATGGATCGTTAGAAAATACAAATATTTGTTGAACAAGAAACTTCTTGTTGGTTCATTCTAACGATATGTTTGCTCAATGTTTATGATAACACACAATATTCCATCGTGATACGACGTCTTGTTTACCAGTATGTCAGTACCCCAGTAATTTCCGGGGAACATTATTTCCCTCATTCTTATTTCCCCGCACGTACGCAGGGCCCTTGCCATTTCTCCTACCCACCCCTATTCGCCCACGCAGCAATGGCTCGCTTCCTCGCGGANAAAAAGGGGGGGGGGGGGGGGGGGGGGGGGGGGGGGGGTAGCTCTTCCCCTAGGTGTAATGGACCTGAGAAACAGATAATTACCCTCACCCGCTCAGACTGACTCTCCCCCTCTCCAGGGGGTCGCCCTCCCATGGGGACTTGCGATTTTCTGTCTCTCTCTCCACTCTCCACTCTTTTTTGACGCAGACCAAGGATCAAGCTCTCATTTTAGTTATGAGTAACTCGTCGGGTGTTTATTCAACTCTGTAAAAGCCCTTTCGAGGCTACTCGTTATTTCTGGTTTGTTCTTCTTTCCGTTTGAGGCTTTCCACGAAAAAAATATATATATCCCTCGAAATGGAGAAATGAAGACTAATCGTTTGGTGAGTCACTTTGGGGTTGCCGTGGATTACCTTTTCTCGGGGATTCGGGTGGGAAACGATGACTCCGGTGGTTGCGATTGCATGATCAACAGCATTTAGACACTCCCATATAGTTTTGTTAGTCTCATGATTTTTTTTTTAACGATCGGAGAAGTGACCATTCGCGTGACTGGGTTCCACTTCTTACTTTTATTGGTTCATTCCCTTTGATCCTATTATTTTTGGCAGTCCGAGGGGGGGAGGATAATCGATAGTAGGGATAGTTCCTGAAATTTTCCTCCTCTTTCGTTCGACTTTTATTTTTTTTATTGTCTTTTTACATCGCTTTGACCCGGTTGGGGTACACTGCGATGATAATCAAGACTTTAAATGGTTACGCGGAGAGAAATGTTCAGTAAAAATTACGGAACTCTCACTTCACTCACCGATTACGGAATCGACTCAGAAAATTTAAGTGACGGTATCGTAATTTTTCACAGGAGTTTCAGATAAAAATTACGGAAGACTCCGAAAAAATTGCGTGACAGTTCCGTAAAATTTCCTACAACCACATTTCGCTCCGGAATTACGGAAAAGATAGGGGAGGGTGGGGCAAAACGGCCCCCCTTCAATTGTCAATAACTTGTGAATGACATTGTGCAAATTCCCAGTTTCATTTTGAAGATAATTTTTCATTCTTCAAAACGAGCTCTAACTCATCCCAATCGGATTATTGAATCGGAAAATATTGACGATTGAAGGGGGGCCGTTTTGCCCCATCCTCCCCTACGTAATTTTTATTGAACGTTTCTCTCCGTGCAGCGCTCACTTGAAGACGGTCGCACGCGACAGATGTCTAAACTCAAAGTGAAATTTCACAATTAAAAGAACTCCGACAAATGGTAATTTTTTCAAAAATAAATTCCATTTTTGTGAAATAAACGATTCACATAATTTCATCATGCACTGGGATAAAAAAAATTGGTCCCTGATTATTTTACTCTCTCCATTCGATATTTTTTGCAACGGAATGCGCGTTATGAGCCATAATTGCCCCTTTTTATCTCTCTCATTTATTTAAACCATTTTGGTCTCTCCCTTTTGATTTCTTTCTTCAACCCTCGCATTGGAACAAGATAAAGAGGGGTTGAGGGCACAGGACGTAGCGTGGAAAATGGGTCTCTAGAGGTGGCTGAACTATACCCAGTCAAGGATAGTCACGTTCCGCAACGAGGACTTTGACGTTGACCAATCAACGCTAAGATAAATTATTAGTAAATGTGTATACCCTCCTGGCACAATAGCATTTCGGGAAGGGCCTTGGGGAGTTTGCAGCGCTCTCTCACGCAAAATATCGAACGAGGCATCTACGAATTGTGGACATTATGGCATGGGGTTCCTTGCTATTCAGCCGGTGGGTTGACGTGTCACGTGGACGTATTTTTGCGAGGTTCTGCATTATGGAGTTGAATTCCTCTAATTTCCACAAATTCTCGGAAAATAATTCAGTAGCGAAGCGATAAACCGGGTTAAGTCGACTTAGCCCTTCGCTGAGTTCTCAAGGAATATCTCCCAATTCAAGAGAAATAGCGAAATTTTCATTATTATCTTTTTTGTAGAGCGAACTGAGAGCTACAAAAAAGGTTATTACAAAAAATTTCTATGTTCCTTAGGTTCCGAGATATTCATTATAAACCGACCAATAGTCTAAATCGACTTAAACCGGTTTACCGCTTCGCTACTGAATTGCACTAGGCTCTGACTGCTGGGGAGGCCTTGTTCAGAGTTAAAAACCAGAGTTGTGACAACATTGTCCAGTGGGGCCTATAGGAGTCTCCCCCGGTTGGGAAATCACCCTTAAAATCATTTGCACTATGTTTCATAACCCACTCCTGCACTCGGACCCCATTAGACAAATATGAATATTGTCGAGAAATATAAAATTCACATAAAATGTAAAAAACTATTTATTTCTTTTTTTATTTACGTTAATCTAGACTGATATTCGTATTCAACGAATTAATATTTTGAGAAAATTATTTACTAGTCTACTATCTGCATATCACTTATCAATTGATCCGATGTTGTCGAATCGTAGATAAAATTCAAGTGAATAAATTTTGTAATTCAGTTGAATCTTTCAATTTAACATAAATTTTGATGATTAAATGGACTTAATTTTCAACTTTCACAAATCCTCGGGAAATAATTGAACTGAAAATCAAAATTTTCAACAATTTAGTATGGGATTGACAGAAAAATGAAGAGAAAAATGGTAAAGATTGTATTCCATTTGAAAAAACCCCAATTTTTAATTTATATCGGTAGGTTCTAAAATAAGTGGTACGATCTGAAATAAAAGAATCAGCCAAATGGAAATACGATGGTTTCGCTCCTTTCAAGAATGTTTTAATTGGCAGAAAAAATTATTTGAAGTGAAAATAAGAAACCAAAGAATAACTAAATTAAGAAATAGTTGAATGCAGCCGAAACCCCTAATTTCTGGGCGGCTGGGCCATATTTTTTTTATTTATTAAATGTCGATCAATGGAAAAAATAATTGAACACATGATTACACACGAGTGATATTATGGAAAAGTGAAATAATTGAATTCTAGGGAACTGTTGGATTGTTCAATTGTATATTAATGGATCCAATTTTTTTTTATCCTTCCAGTTTCGCATTGAGTTCTTCGCGACTCATTAATCAACTTCGAATGAAACTTTTATTACGAAATATTGAAATGCAATAGTCGTTGAATTTAAATAAATTGGTTCTATATGACTCAATTAGAATATTGAAACATATTTTCGCACTCGTATTTTACAGGGGGGAAGGAGTAACGGGTATAAAAGTAAGATAGGTACTCAGGGACACGTCGGGACTAAGAGGTTGCTTTTAAGGACATAAAATACGTTTACGTTGTCGTGTATTTTTCCCCTCACTAAAGGTCTGGATCTCTCTAGAGGTCTCTCGTAACCTGACACGGTCCTACGATGAAAAATTCCAGACCTATTTTTTTCATTCAACCCCGGTTGTACAATTTTACTATTCTATTTTCATATTTTTAAGGGGAAAAAATTTTATCATTGTTTTCGAATGGAGGTTTGGAACGGATATTTATCGCTGGGGGAGGGCTTCATTGATGGGTTTTGGCTCCGGTTTCCGCCGGTGACCACTCGCCGAGATGCTACTGATACGGGATACGAGAATTCGGGGGATCCAAGGAGAATGAAATTTCTGGAATCTTTTTCTTCTTTTATTCCATTATTCATGGAAGATTATCTCTTAATACGAAGGGAAATTTTGCAAACTGTTTTTTTTATAATTAAAAAAATGATAGGGTAATGGTAATTTCACTCTCATTTGAAAAATTTCTTCCACAAATATCTTTTTATTGTGGGATTCATCCTTTAAAAAAATTATGAAAATTGAAAATAATTATGTGGAAAATTTAGGTACAAACAAATGACAAAAATTCTAAACACAACAACTATTTGAAGTTTTTGAAAGAGAAAATTAGAGAGTGAAATTCAGGGAAAAAATGTTGATTAATTAATTACTAGAAATGTCGGATTTTTATTTTCACAAAAAAAATTACATCTACGTTGGAAATAAAATTTGGTAATGATAATGTCATCCCCATTTCAAAAATTTATCCCTCAAATATCTTTTTATCATTGGGTACATTTAAAAAAATTATAAAAATTGAAAATAATTATGTGGAAAATCTCGGAAAGAAACAAATGACAAAAATTCTAAACACAACAATTATTTAAAGTGTTTGAAATAAAAAATTAGAGAGTGAAATTCAATGAAAAAATACCGATTAATTAATTACTAGAAATGTTGGATTTTCATTTTCACAAAAAATTACGTCTACGTTTGAAATAAAATTTGGTAATGATAATTTCATTCCCAATTGAAAAATTTATCCCTCAAATATCTTTTTATTATAATATTTATCTTTTTAAAAAATTATAAAAATTGAAAAAATTATGTGGAAAATTTAGGTACAAACAAATGACAATTCTAAATACAACAACTATTTAAAGTTGTTGAAGTAAAAAATTAGAGAGTGAAATTCAATGAAAAAACATTGATTAATTAATAAAATCTCGGATTTACATTTTCAGAAAAATTACGTTCACACTCAAAATAAAATCTGGTAATTTTTCTCCTTTTTGTAACTAAAAAAATGATTGCAAAATGATACTTTCATTTCCAGTCGAAGAATTTATTCCTCAAAAGTCCTTTTATCCTAACAAAAATCATCTCATTCAAGTCCAGAGTAACTTCCCAATTAAGAACTTCTGGATCAACTAAAACACGAAATTCGTTCCAACAAGGCTCCATGATGCCTCCAATGATGTCAACAAATTCAGGAGCATCCCCCAACTAAAAAATTCAACTCATCGATGCGTCATAAATTTTTTTCACAGCTCGAGTGGGGATCGATGTAAAAATTACGAGCGCAGAGTGAGACGTAAAATTGACAAGTTGAGGGTGAATTTTACGACCCCTTGAATATTAAATTCGTGGAGTTGCAGCCACAACCGATCCCCCCGTGGCAGAGAGGCAATAATTTATCAATATTTTGGCATCGAGTTCGGTGGGAAAGCAACAAAACAGTGGATTAAGAAGTCTTCAGCTGAGGAACAGGTTGAATGAAAGGAAAGAGAGAAAAGAGTCTGTAAGCGGATACTAAATGAGCTTCTCCCTGAGTGAATGGAGATGAGACGAGGCGATGCATGTGGAGAATTCCCCAAGGAGGCTGAACGTCTCATTTTTTCCCTCCTTTCAATTAAAAAAAAATACATTCCCCCGTCACAAAGCTCTAATTAATTTTAATTTCATTGTTTCTTTCTCTTCTTCAGCTTCAACTTCTCTTTTAAAAACCCAGTTATTCTGTTCTCCACTTTGTTTTGATGACGCCAGGCCCGTGGAGGCATTCAAACGTTGACTCAAGCCTGATATCAACCGGAAAATAGTGCACATGCGCGAGTCTCGACTCTCGTGTGTATTACTGAAAAGCTCATGCCGCTATTCTGTCATACACCAGCCTCCCGAGACATCACATCACGAGACAGATCTCAGTGCGCGATCTATCATAGTCGTGTTCTATTAAACATATCAACTTTTTTTTAAAGCATTCAAATTTGACATTCCATTTGCCAATCAATTAATTCTCCAATGTTTTGTTGAATTCCACTCTCGATTTTTTTATTTCAAACTTGGAACAGTTGTTGGATTTACGATTTTTGTTAGTCGTTTGCTTAAAAGTTTTCACATGATTAATTTCAATTTTTATTGAGGTTCTTTTTTCTTTAGTCAGGAAAATTTCAGTGAAGTTTTGGAAAATAACGAGTGAAACTGGTGCGAACGCAATGGGAAACATCAACAAGTGATGATGTTCTGTAAAATATACCAGCTATTATTGTTTGTGAAAATAGAAACCGACATTTCCGTCAATTAAATCTTCAATATTTTTTTTTTAATTTCACTCGAGAATTTTTTATTCCGAACTTTGATTAGTAGTTGTGTTTATATTTTCTATTTGTTTGCGGAAAAGTTTTTCACGCGATTGTTTTTAATTTCTGTAATAAAGGTTTTTTGTGCGAAACACGTGACTGATTTTCCGAGTTCTTTTTCTATGGAATTGACCGAATAGAAAAATCAACAAGTGCTGATGTCGCTGTAAAATAGAAACCGACATTTCCATCAATTAAATGTTCTATGTTTCTTTTAAATTTCACTCGAGAATTTTTTATCCCGAACTTTGATTAGCAGTTGCATTTACATTTTCTATTTCTTTGCTGAGAAAATTTTCACATGATTATTTTCAATTTCCATAAAGTTTTTTTGTTGTTTTTTACTTTTAGCTCTGCAAATTAAAGTAAAGTTTTGAAAAATACCGAGTGAAACTTGTGAGAAACTCGTGACTGATCTCCCGAGTCTTTTTTCCGTTCAATTAACCGAATAAAAAAACTCGATAAGTGCTGATGTTCTGTGAAATATAGCAGACATTTCCATCAATTAAATATTCAATATTTTTTTAAATTTCACTTGAGAATTTTTTATTCCAAACTTTGACCAGGAGTTGCATTTACATTTTCTATTTGTTTGCTCGAAAGTTCTTCACATGATTGTTTTTAATTTCCATGTAGTTTTTTATTCATTTTATTTATAACTTCTAGCTCCTCAAATTTGAGTGAAATTTGGAAAAATAACATTTCGAAAACTCTTTATCAAACTTCGAACAGATGTTGTGTTTACAATTTTCGTCATTCGTTTGCTGCAAAGTTTTCACATGATTGTTTTGTCAATTTCCGTAAAGTTTTTTCCTTTGTCTTCCACTTTTAGCTCTGAAAATTAAAGTGAAGTTTTGAAAAATACCGAGTGGGGCTTGTGAGAAACTCGTGACTGATCTCCCGAGTTCTTTTCCTGTTGAATTAACCGAATAAAAAAAACAACAAGTGCTGATGTTCAGTGAAATATACCAACCATAAACTTTAATCGTAAATTGCCCGAGTTTTTTCAAAGTGGTGAATAGGGTGGATAGTGGGGTTGAGTGACAGTGGGATAACGGTAATGGGAGTAAAGGAGAAGAAGAAAAAACAAGAAGATCGTCAACTGTCGAGTGAGGTGGTGGGGGTGAGCCCTCAACTTTAAGATTAATTAAGTCGTGCCAATTAGTTTCAGCTGGGAATGGATTTGACCAGTACGCTAAACCGAGAAGTTTAAAATTTCTGTGGAATAAATTCAACTGGAGTGACATCAAGGAGAACTTAATTTTCCAATCAACAAACTTTTCATTAATTAAAACACCATGTTCTGAGGAATTATCATCAAGTAATTATTGTGATGATTATTCTGTGATAGACTATTGTCGGACTGAAATGGAACTTCAACTACTTGGAATATGCATTCTCACGTTTATATCAACAGGTAAATCGAATAATAACTCATTAAACTCTTAACACAATCGAATTCCACGAAAATAACTGCGCAATTCAGTAGCGAAGTGGCAAAGCGCTAAGTCAATTTTGACTACTGACCAGTTTTCAATGAATATCTCGGAATCTAAGGCAGATAGCAGAATTTTTGTGAGAACCTTTTTTGTAGAGCCGATTACGAGCTACAAAAAATGTATTGACAAAAATTTCGCTATCTCCCTCAGATTCGGAAATATTCCTCAAAAACTCGTCTAGGAGATGTCGACTTGAACCGTTTTACCACTTCGCTACTGAATTTATTCCACTGAATGAGTAAAATGCCCTCAGGATTAATGAATCGCTAAATTAATCAATGTTTCCCCTCAAAATCCGCCGCCATTAACGTTAAATCACTCTCAATTCCCCGAAAAAGCAAATATTTCTCCACGCGAAAGTGCAAATCCCCCGTGAAAATAATTCCCATTTCATTACCTAAATTATGCAAATTCTGACATTTGAATCCTCAAATTCTCATCCAACTTAATCAGCCCCCTGGACAATTCAGCCCGAGTGCCTGCCGGGCTAAAAAAAACAAAATAAATGATTCTCTTTGTCCTACGCACGAGTGCCATCAAAAACGTCAGCGTTAAATATTTCACAGAATCCGATGAAAAGAATACAAATACAATATTTGATCGACAAGGTACTCCGAGTGGTTCATTAATACGTCATGAATAGTCGGTTTGTATCCACAGTCCCCGAAATAATGCGAAAAAACCCCTGTATAATGGATGAAAAAAGGATGAGGAGAGAGCCCTTGAGGGTGAAACAATGAAAAACCGGAGGGTATGCTCGGTGCTCAGCAATAATTAACAATAGAATCGTAATTGAGGCACATTCCGTTATCGTGTGGTATAGGTAAAACGTATGTACGTCAAACCTTCTGTATCGGTATTGTGTTTGAGAGCGGACGTACATTCATTGGCCCATGTACACTCGACTCGCTCTCTTTCTCTGTCAGCCTTTTTATTTTAGCTCTCGTAAAAAAAGAGAAAATACTAGGAGACAATGGGGGACACGAGCTCCCGTTGCGCTCCGACTGCCTTTTATAATCTCATTATTTATGTTTATATAATCATTTGATAGTGAATATTTCCCTGAAGCCAATTGCCACTAATAATCGGGGGATTGCGTCACTCGTTGGACTCCCTCGCTCGGATAATTTTTTCTTCCTCTCTTTCGTGCATTTCGACCCTGTCTTTCTTACTCTGTCGTCTCGTTTGAGACATTTTAACTGTTTTAATTCGTAAAGTTGTAACGGGTTGTAAAACGAAGAAAGTTAGTGGCGACTGACCACTTGACATCATAAATGTGACCCCCTTTGTTGAGGAGAATGAGGGGAAATTGGAGGACAGCACGAGGCGAACCATCAGCGAGATTATGAGCTGTTTCGGAATAAGTGGGGGCGATTAGGAGAAATTGTTAATTGGGTTATTTTGTGGATTTTTTTTTTCTTCGTTGGACACAAATACTGCAAGTGTTGGTTAAATTCGCAGTCTAACTGTGCAAATGTTCCTTTTTCATACTTGAGAAAATAATTGAAGAATGATAATTTTTGCTGAATAATGAAAATGATAAAATGAGTGACAGTAAGAAGTCTATTGCAATTAAGTTTGTGGTATTGAAGATTTTTGTTTCTTACTTCATTCGATTATGTGTGACAACTTATTGCTAAATTCGGAGTAAATTGCAAATGGTTCTTTTTGTTGATAAAATAGTCGAAAAATGATAATTGTTGTTAAATAAACAAAATGATAAAATGAGTGATAATAAAATGTCTATTGCAGTTGAGTTTATTGCATCAAAGATTTTTGTTTCTTCCATTTCTTCTCATCTGTCCTCCCCTTGGTATGAGGGAAGTCTCTAAAAGCAATAAACAAAACAAACAAACAACAACAACAACAGTTTTTATTGAATAAACGAAATGGTAAAATTAGGGACAATAAGAATTCTATTGCAATTCTATTAAAGAATTTTTTTTCTTTCTTCATTCAATTATTTGTGTCAAGTTATGGCTAAATTCGGAGCTAAACTTTGCAAATGTTTCTTTTTCACAATTACGAAAATAATTGAAGAACGATAATTTTTCTTAAATAAACAAAATTATAAAATTAGTGACAATACCAATTCTATTGAAATTGCATTAAAGAATTATATTTGTTGCTGCGCAAATTCTACTGAGGATTTTGCAATTTTACCCTGTAATTTTGTTAAAAAATATTATGATAATTGATAGATAAAGTCAATCGATTTTTCTATAGAATTGGCGAAAAAAATGGACTGACTTTTCTGATAGAATCCTTATAAAATTTCAATAAAATTTCACAGAAAAAGCGCTAGCATTTGCTATTGATTTTTTGCACGTGACTGAACAATTAATTTCAATAATTTCTTTATAAAAAAATAAATCCCTATAGGGATGTTTCGTAGGAATATCAATACGATGGAGTTCCATCGTGATTGCTATGAATTAAAAACTGAGCGTTGATGGGTGAAAAAATTGAAGGGGAATAATTAATCAGTTGGCAATTTGCGTGGGTTCGCTGAAGGGCTTGCCCTGGTTTATTATTATTATTTCATTCCCTCATTAACGGATGAGAGTATCTCGTGAGTGGGTGCATCATGAGGATTTCTACTTTTATTCGAGGAATGAGCTTGCCGCAATTAATGGAATCGGCAATTAAGCACCAAGTTGGCTATTAGTTGAAATTATATCCCGTATGAGTTCCCCTGGAGATCAACTCGTATTTGCGTGTAATGCACAGGGCATTGCTGAGTGTGTCATAAATGAGACGCCTCAATCCTGATTTTTTTCTAGTTTCTCTTATTTGAGAATTTGATCGAAATAATTCATTTCCTCGACATGAAGGAAGCCATCTGAGACAAAATAGATATGATTTTAGCATGACGCCTAGGCCAAGCTCCAATTCCATAAATTTGTCAAGAAAAAAACCAATTTTCAATGGCAAAAAATTTTCCGAAGGAAATGGAAGACAAAATTCTCAGCGTTGAAGCCTTCATTCCATAACTAAACTCGTTTTACAGGCGAATCCGTGAGGACTGTACAACTAAATATACCGACAGTAGTGGATCCACGACAAGAAAAAGTAATGTTACGCTGTGACTACGAGTTGAGCCCTGGTGAGACACTTTACCAGGTCAGGTGGTACAAAGACGGTAACGAGTTCTTCAGGTATGCACCAACATTCAACCCTCCGGGTGAAGCCTTTAATGTGACTGGTGTACGAGTTAGCAGAGTGGATAGTAACGACAGAGTTGTTGTACTGTTTCAACGTACCAATATGCAACTTAACTTCGAAACAGGTAAGTTTCATTCTCACAAAGTGAAATTAAACGGGGATTTTATCGAGCCAATTGGTCTCAACGTTTGAGAATTATTAATCATCTCTTATTACATCAGGCACCAGCATCGGTGGTACATACGCCTGTGAAGTGATGGCAGACCGTCCATCATTTGACACGAAGTACGATCTCGGAAATTTAACTATTGCCGTACTACCACAGCAAAATCCAGCCCTCGGGGGCCTTCGTTCTCATTACCAACTTGGGGATGTACTCGACGCTGAATGCACATCGGCGCCCAGTTACCCAACCGCTGAGCTAACTTTTTATCTCAATGATATTCAGGTATTTCATCTCTGGGTATTTTTTTTTACAGCCTCCTTTACCCTTTTTCCAACTTCAATTACTCATAAAGTGTTCAACGAATTCTCGTGCCACACGTCTCGCATTACAGCTCGTAATCGTTATTTCAGAACGTGCCTTTTTGAATTTCCCTATTTCATCAAATATTGGGAGGGGCGATATTTTAGAATGGTAATTCTTGTCTCGCGGGTTTTTGCGGGGGGGGGGGGGGGTTAATTC